TGAAAGGCGTGTTGGAGGATCCGCCGCGGGTGTTTTTCCTACACAAGAAAAAAGTCATTATTTTTCTTTGACTCACATAGGTGTACACAGTGCTTGACAATTATACCGGCAATTATACTCCATCTATCTACTCCCATGTCGGATGTGAAAGGAAGAAAACAAGAGACCTGGGAGGAGTATCAATTTGTTCAGAGGCAAACAAATATTCAGTTAGCTGTAGACATATTTGTCAGTTATTCTTTACCTTCACCCATCAATCTTAAAATTGCTACTTAGCAGTTGCCACACCTGTTGTTACAGATGCTGCTTGCAGTGCGAAACCTGCCTAAATTGGGAGTAGTCTTGCAAGACGGGGCACGATGTTGGGAAAAGCACCCTGTCCGATCAGCAATGAACTGCATATCCTCCTCCGAGATCAGATCTAATTAACAGAGGCAAGAAAGAGACATAGCTGTAACTTGCAGCCACCTGTATAGAAAATTCAAAGAACCTTTTTTGGACAAACACCTGTGGCATTGATGAAGGGTTGTTGATGTCTTTGCAAAGACATCTGGATCAGTTTAACGGCATTGTGCATATAGTCAGCAGCCCGCACAGCATTACGGGTTTGCCCAACAGGCTGCTTCAACAACCGCAGGGTGTCTGACGGACTCACTGCATCCCTCCTCACGCGTTCAACGCTCCTGTATTGTGTGGAGAGGTCAAAGTTATAAACACTGAGATGTCATTGCTTTTGAGGCCGGACAACTTCCAGTTGAATGTATTTTACACTTTCATACTGTGCCATTTGTTTGTCTATCACTGCAGAACTTGTGTAGCAGTTCAGTAGGTTTGATCACTCACACTCTTCTGGAGTACTCATAAGCTGAGTCCACCATGGTCTTGGCGTCAATCACAGCTTTTTCAATAACGCTTCTGCTCAAACGTGCAGGTTCTGAAGGCACAAAACATCTTTCAGTTAGTCTGCTCTCTGTTTCCTTACAATCCAGTCACCTTTCACTGTATAGCTTCTATATTTTGAAATTATCTCTGAATATTGATGTTTATTTTTACCCCAATAGATTTCTGGAGCTATTACGCAGGTTTCTTTCATGTAATTACAGCAAAACTCTATTGTAGAAACTCATGTTCATCTGTGATCGTCTGTATTTAGTTTTTATCTAAATTAAATGAATTAACTCTAGTAGGAGGAGGTTTACTTTAAACACATTTATAACGATTGTATTTAATTCAATTCAATTTGATAGAGGTACTTACCAGTATTCATGTAGTTTTTCAAACACAGGTAAAGACCTGCAGCGATCAGGCACACAAGCCACTTCATCTCTGAAAAAAATGAACATGGTCCTGTTATATACACACTAATCAACTGATAATACTAAATATACAAGAAGGCATGGTTGCCTGAAAGCGAAGTACAACTGCTATTTGCAAGTGTGAAGAAAGACAATAAGAAAGTTAAAAAGTTAGACAAGAAGCTTGAACCCTAACCTGTTATATTTTGGATGTCCAACTTTCTCCAACTGCAGTTTGGAGTTGGCGTCTGTATATATAGGTCTCCATGTTTCACACACCCCTTTGCAACACCTAAGTCATCTTTGTTTGAGCAGGTTCTACAAAAGATGACAATGTGGTTCAGCAGGTAACTAATTAACTTCACTACATGTCTTGCACTATGTTATCAAACCAAACCGTTTTAATGTAGGACTGAAGGCCAATTAAATTCTCTGCAATTTTCTTTTGAGTTCTGCAGGGCAGGGTTTACACCCTAATTTAAGCCGGTTTCAGCTCTTTTTGCTCCAAGCAGTTTGACCAGCCTGCTCAACGATGTGAAGGTGGCTGAAAATTGCTTTTTACACAGTAAACCTTTATAACAGACGTTATCTATTGAGGTTTTTTTTTTATATTTTTAACTAATTACATATTTTTTGTTAATTTCAATATGACATCTTTGGGATTTTTCTTATTTATGTGTATTTTAATATTTCTAATCAATTCCACTCTTTCAACATCATTTTCCAGGACGTTTTCAGTGATGATCTGGCCGGCGTAGCTTAGCCATACACTAATATGTTTCTCTCTGTTGAAGTTTAGAGACATGCAGTCTATGGCTATTACTTATCTATGAAATCATCTCTCACATGCTTAGAAATTATGAATAAAATAATGCAAAAAAACACCTGCAGATGTACAATACTTCACTTGATCGTGATGCCACTTCAAAAGTTAAACATTTCAAGTTATGTTATGGTCCATTTTAACTTGACATTGCAGAATTGTGTTTGAAGAGACAATGCTAACAAAGTTTAAAAAAATAAATAAAAATGAACAGTATTCAACCCTTTAAAACATGTCGGGAAGAAAGCAATATTATGGAAAGTCATCGAACCTGCACCTGTAATGTGACTTGGGGTTGAATTTGCTACATTGCCACAACATAACCGACAGCAGCCTATCAAAATACTCTCGTCCATGAACTAATTGTTGACGGTGTAGAACAAAATGTAATATCTTTAAATTGTATTAACTGTATTATTTTATATTGCGTATGTATTCCTGCCAGTTCTGTCTGTCAGACAGAAACTATTTACATTAATGAACAAACCTCTGTGAGTAAAACCTTTTGGTGTAGTGTGAAGATAGCCCAGACCAGACTTGTAAGAGGTCACACATTAATGTATCAATCACCTTATGCTTTGTAAAATAGACCTGTATTGTACTTCTATAGACTTGTGAGTTGGGTTCTTAGACCTAACTCACTCCCTGAACTGACAATGAATGCACATCTTGGGTGCTGATAGTTTCAAGGTCCCTTGTCCTTCCTGAGACCCCCAGCCCACACCTTTTGTTTAGCAGTTATTTCCTGTAACCCTGTATATAATCATGGCCAGAACTCAATCTGGTCAGACAGAATTCTACGGTTAATATGATCCTGAATATAACTTAGACCTTTCAGATGTTTTGTGGAGCAACGATAGAAAGGTTACCCTTGTAGTTAATTCTCAGAGAGGAGAATGTTGAAATTATTTCTCCAGGACATTTTAATTTTTGTGTCAATTTCCACATGTTTTCAAAAACTGGAAAATTGTTTAACACCTTCTCAACACAGAATCTCTAAACAATCCAGGTGGTATTGTTGTGTTGTGTCTTAACGATGTTCCTGAGATGTCCATAATTCAATTCAAAGTGCCTTACGATGACAGCAAATACTACAATAGCCTATCCGTGAGCTTCATTGGTCATTACCCTCGACAAGACACAGATTGTGTTGTTTAAATAATCTTTAGAGCCCAGAAAAGGTTCACATTATCTAGTAATTCACAAACTGAGAGAATAGATTGACATCAGTGCGATATTAAAGGTCGTTTTCAGAATATCTGTATACTGTACTGGAAGATGGGAAGTGTTACTGTCACAAAACAGACATCTTACAAAAAATGGAATTATATAACATTAGCTTACAGATTGTTTTTATAAACAATCTGTAATTTTATACAGTCAAGCAACAAAACCAGAAAGGTCACATGCCTGAACAAAAAGTCACGTCGGCATATTGCTTCTGAATAATCTGTCCTGACAAGCCGTTGCCAAGCAAGGAAATTACTTTTACATGTCATTATTATTGAACTAGAAAATGCATTTCCTGCTGAAAATGCATTGGAATGCTGAAAGCTGAAATGAATTGTAAAAGAATTGCAGGATTTGAAGATTTTCTCCATAGAGATCCCATTCAAAAGAAAATTGCAAATAGCTTAATATTTCAAAGAATTTAAAGATTACAAATATGAAAATTCATATCACCCCTCTCCTGAAAGAGCTGAACATTTTGATATTCGAACGGTTTCTGTGGCTTAAAAAATGTCAGCAGTAGTGATATTTGTAGTAGTAGTACTAGAAGTTGTAGTTGTAGTAGAAGTATTATAAGTCGTAGAAGTATTAGTAATTAGAAGAAGTAGTAGTATCAGTAGTTGTAGTAATAGCTGTAGTAGTGGTCATAGTATTATAACAGTAGTAGTAGTAGTAGTAATAGTAAAGTCAGTTTTTGAAGTAGCAGTAATAGCAGTAGTAGTAGTACTAGTAGCAGTCGTACTAATAGTTGTAGTGGTATTAGTACTGGTGTGTTAGAGGCTAATTAAGAGAGATTAGAGTGAACAGTGATTTTCAACAAAACTACCTGTCAAACATATGCCCTTTATACCAAAACCATGAGACTAATCAATAAAATATGGATACCGTGAGAGAGATAAGACTCTGCCAAACGCGGTAATGTGGTTTTTATGTTTGTGGTGTTAAAAATGTGAGCTCCAGCGCAATATACAAAACTGGTACCATCTGCTTTCTTTGAGAAATGAGTGGTCAGATTTAACATGGAGTCTAATGGAGCGGTTTGTTGGAGTTCATGTCGCTCTGTGGCTCCTTGAGCCAAATTTGTAAGTCTGTGGGATTCCACAGTCATCTTTCTACGACAAGGACAAGATTAGCTACTTTTCCATCTAAAAAGTATGCATGAAGAGTGAAGATTGTGGACTCAGTGGCAAAAGACAAATATTTTTTTCACAAGATTCTGAAGCTGCTCTTCACTCTAGTGGTGACATCACACACTCTAAGCTGTGCAATACACACCCATTATAAAGTCAGAAAAGGAAAATTGCTACAGTTCAAAAAGTGTAAAAGATATCAACATTATAACATACAACAATAGATTATAACATACAATAATAGCTCAGGGTTTTCTCGACATTTTAAAGTTGAAATGGTGTCTGTAGCTGAAAGTATGAGGAAGTAGAAGGATTTGAAAGTTGAAGAGGATTTGAACATTTTCTCCAAAGAAACCCATTCATAAAAGAATGTGCAAAAAGCTTAATAATTCAAAAAGTTTAAAGCTTAGAAATATGAAGAGACATAGCCGGCATGGGCTGAAAGAGCTGAACATTTTGATATTTCAACGGTTTCTGTAGCTTAAAAAATGTGGAAGAAGAAGAGTGCTTAAAAAATGTGGAAGAAGAAGAGTGCTTAAAAAATGTGGAAGAAGAAGAGTGCCAAAATATGTACGGAAGAAATATAAAAGGAAGTTGAATAAAGATTTGAAGAACAATAGTTCAATGATAATGACTGAACTTAAGCTTAATTTGAGTGACATGTACAGTACATACAGGTTAGTGCTTAGTGCTTTACAGGTGTTTGCCACACTGATAGGGAAGTAGAAATATAAAGAGTAAAACAATGGGAGACCATGACACGCAATGTTTGAGGGGTGTCGTTAAAAGGGTAGATAGATAGATAGATAGACTTTATTTCAGACTCAGGGTCCATAGAGACAAATACATAAAAAGACAGACACAAACAATAAAAGTACGGAGGCCTAGCAATGCCCTACAAGGAGACAGCTGTACCAATGTCGCCACAGCTGGGACTGGTAGCGTGTGGTGCTAAACCTTATGTTGGTTAAAACAACTATGATCTCATTTTTAGAGTCATTAAGTCTACGAATGAATTTATACATGAGATTTCTTAACACAGTTTGGAAAGTATTGACTCGTGCAGCCACAAACATTTCACTAGCACTACTCCATCTCAGTCTCTTTAAAAGTATTCTCATGGCGTCATTGTAAGCTACTTGAAGTCTCTGTAAGCTCTTTTTTTTGTAGTTTGACCACAAGTGTGCAGTGTAGAGTGGTGTACAATATGTTCTGAACAGAGACATCTTCACTCCATCTGTACACATACCAAACTTGTGTGAGAGACTCTTTGCTTGTGCATACATCATATGACTAGGCTACATACTTTACCAGCTTTGTTTTTAATGACTGGCAGTAAGAGAACAGACAGCATTAAGTCTGGTAACAAGCCGTGAATCATGATGCTGGAATGTACTAATTAACAGGGTTCGCACGATGTCTAGGTGGACACTTTGTTTCATTAAGTGGTAGAAATGACCTCATGAGTTGTCCCAGCTGAAGCCTATGAGCTATTATTTTCTGTTGAATACCCAAGATCACTGAGCCGACAGGCTCATATGTATATTTAGATTGGCCAGTGTACAACATAGCGCCTTTTGACTTTGCATTAAATAATCTTTACGGGTCTGGTGTTTGTATCCAAATATTAGAACTGCAGTGACCAATCTGCATCAATTGCAGAATGCAGCAGAAATGTGTCTGGAAAACTCTTAACACAGATAGTGTTGGTCCTGGCTGGATTACATTCGTTTTTATTTGTTGTAGAATTCAGTTTAAAAATGAATTCCTTGTAAATATTTGAGATCATTTTACACCTTATTCTGCACCAAGACTCCTCAACCAAATGCTGTCCAGCGTCAGGACACGGCCATACCTGGTTTATTTTTAGACTTTAGTTCCAACACAATATCATGTCAGCTCAATGGAAGATTCCTTTAAGCAGACAACATTTTAATTAACTTAACCTACAAAGATGATTAACGTAGGGCAGTGTGGGAGGAGTGCAGTTCCATTGTGTTTGAATAGTGAATGCCAAGCCTTTTTTTAATAATGACATACACAATAGACAAAAACAACTTCCCGGCTTACTGCCCGTCATTTCTTCATATTTTTCAACCACTTGGAACTACTGGTAATAATACTGGCTGGACAAAGTAAACATGTCTCCTGTGACAGAACAACTCCCATTTAAAACAACAAGTAACATAACTTAGATTCTTTAGTGTCTAACCTCTAACTATCTCAAGGAAGTACAGTAACAGTGAGGGATAAGACTGTCTGTCGCCGGTCAGACAGCTGATGGGTCTTTTTTAGTAAATGGATTATTTGATTGCGAGGCACGGAGCGAAACACAGAACGCATGAGGAAATCAAGGACGCCAAACCAGAAAAGCCATCGTAGTTCCCCAGTAATGCCTGGTATTCATCTGGGCTGTTTCAACAACCACTGTCCAATGAGGGCATCATATGACAGAATGTGATACATAATTTATTCTACTCCATCTTTTTGGGGAAGAGGTAGAAAAATGGTGGCATGATAATAGTTAATACAAACACTGACTTTCCAATTCCAGTGCACTCCAGGATAAAGCGCCTGCTTGCAGTCAAGTACATTTAGAGGAGGAGATTAGGCTTTATATGGGGGCCTTTACTACAAACTGTCATGAAGCATACTGATTTAGTATTTAAGTATAAAAGTTAAAAAGCCTTTATTATTGTGGCTAAATGATTATAAACCTGGTTTTATGGATAATACATGGAGATGGGTATGGCATTTTATGTTGACGTATTTCATCCATGTAGGCTGGTATGTGATTACATAGTTTCTGACTATGACTAGTGTGTGCTGGAATTTTGTATTATTGTGTTTGCGTGTGTGTTTGTACACCTGTGGACTCTGTCAGTCAGCACATTTGTCACACCTTTGTCATTTTTTTGGCCTCTTTTGTCTGAGGTGTGTTTTTCTTTCAGTTACACTGCAGATGTAACAATAACGAAAGTAATCTAGTTTGCAGTTCTCTCCTCATATTCAGTTCTATCTGCCTTCATCTGCAGTAAATACTTGTATCTACAAAGACGTGACAAATATGTAGATGCACATAATTATAATTTGCATATGAAGTTCTATTGCAAGATACAGTACATGCAAGCTGATTATAAGTTAACATTTGTAGAATTCATTCTCTTAAATGTAGTTTGGTTTGCACATTTGGAGACAGCATGGAGCAAATTGTCTGATCAGTGCAGGTTGATTAGTGTTTCCTCATGAATTCATGTTTTTCAATATCTTTGGAAATAATCCATGTCCAAAACCATTTTTATGTAGGTTCATAATAAAAATTTGCATATGATGTTCTGCTGCAAAATACGTACATAAATTTGATTAGAAGTAAACATTTGAGGAATTCTTTAACTTCAGCTTTGTTTGGTTTGCTCATTTGGTACAGCACGTCGCCAATTGTGTGGATCGGTGCTAAACAGCTTTTCCAGTGCAGGTTGATTCTTTGTATGTTATGGAGATTTTGCATTATCATTAAAATAATTACCTGAAATGACGCAAATGAATTGTCTGTAGCTTGTAGTCATATCGACCTACAGCTCGAACATGACTGATGCAACCATTAGTGATTCTTGAAGAAATGGCACCAGAAGGATGAGGAAAGACTGGAGGCAAAAGTAAAAGAAGCAGAATGAGAGGAGCTGTTTCACAGTGCAGGCAGAGGAAGCTCTCACCTCTGGCTCACAGAGAAGGATGTGTATTTATACATAATGGAAACAATAATATATGTTTCCATAAATATATATAGCAAAAAGTACAATATCTCTGAGATGTAGTGGAATAAAAACTACATTATTTACCTCTGAGTATAAAGTACAATATTTACGGATTTTGACATTAATTTGCCTTCATAATAGTGATAGCGATAGTCAGGAAAGGGGGAAAGAGAGTGGAGGACAGGCAGCAGAGGGCCACAGACTGGACTCAAACCCGAGCTGCGGTAAGAACTCAACTTTGTAGCTTACACCCTGTCCACCATTTTAAACATTTCTTTGCGGCCTCTTATTAATCCCTTTAGCCAGAACAGACTGGGGACACAGATGATGCTGAACTGATCATATAAATATCATTGTTGTTTCTTACTTCTATGAGAACAGGTTTTCAGGTATTTAGAGACAGAACTTGGAGATTTTGCGATTGGCTCCACTTCCTGACAATAATCGAGGTAGCTGGCTATTAAATATCACCAACTGTATAATGTTTGGTTAGTAAATGATAACAACGATACTCTACTATAATCAAATACATTTAGAATAGAGTTCAGTGACTTAATGACCCATTCTTCTTTTATATATTCCATGGTTTTAGGATTCATTCCTGCAGCACACTATCTGTGTACTGCCAAACTATTTAGTATGCCGGAAAAAGATTTAGTATGTCCCAATGCAGTCAAATGCAGTATGTCCCAATTGCATGCTGCATGCAACAGTACGTACTTTGTACGGGCAGCAGGAGGCAGTATGCACTAACCGGTCCAGTGGATCAGGAAACTCTGAAGCAGAAGGTGGCGCTGATGCTCCCATAGGTTGCGCCTAATACGCTGTTTGCCCACCGCCGAGAAGAAGAACAGCAGCACGGATGTTATTACCAATGGTTATAATAAACCAGTAGACAAAATAATCTGCGCGTCACATCGCTTTGTGCACATTCACAACATGTCAGCATCTGGCTTTATCCTGGTGGTCCTCGCGGTGTCTCTGTGGCCCGGTAAGACGGACATTTACTGGTAACGACTTTAATGTCTGCATCACTGTCATCTGACATGTCGTTATTAATTATGATGTCAAAGATCGGGTTGTTATCGTGGAATTTATGACAACTAACATTTAAAAAGGGTGTAACGTTAGCTGTATACTGACCGGAGCTAAAGTATTGAACACAATTGTACGTTTTCTGTTTTAAAGGAGACTGCAGGCTCATCATAGACCCGTTTTCACTCATCAAACAGAAATCACTGGTAAACCTGACTTTTATTCTCTATATTTTCACCATTTCGTTTCAAAGGCCACCATACCAACACTAGATTTATTCTATAAATAACACAAATATACATACTGTTCACACTGAATGTGAATGTCTCACTCAAAAGCATCTGTGTGTAAAATAGTTATTCATTAAAGGTGATGTTATTGGCACATACAGTCACTGGGCTTCAGAAACAAACATTTCTTTGCAATAATCTTTTTTTAAATGTGCCGTCTTTGACAAATAATCTCACTGTGGCTTCTCCTTATTAGACATTAGATATGTGTTTAGAGTGCAGCCAGGTCGTCCAGCTGTCCGCCAACATGATTTCCAGCAGAGATACCAAGGTGAGGATGTTGATGGCTTACTCAGTGTAGTTTCACTTTACTTTCACTTCCTTTTACTGGCCACTCATGCTGGGTTTCGGGAATTGGTTAATCGGGAAACTGGCAGAAACACCCTGTACTCCCTGTAATGTCTTTAAAAGTTAAACCTTAAAATGAAAGTTTATATTGAGGTAGTCGCCCATTTTAAGAAAATATTCAATGAAAGAAATGCCGACCTTCGAATGCCAGGGCGTTGAAATGTGCCATCACTAATGTTTACGTTTGTCAAGCTATTTTGTACATGCTTGGTTGTACTGTTACTTTACACTTTGCCAAGTCGACACTCTGTACTCTTGCCACAACATAGACAATGCACTAACTACTCTGCCTTTGCAGGAGACTGTCTATGAAACCTTGTATGCTCTGTGCCAACGCCTCCCAAGAGAACAGGCCTCAGAGTGTGATTCACAGGTGAAGGTGTATTTGCCAAAAGTCCTGCAGCAGACACCTGGTCACCTGGTAAGTTTACCCGCTATTTAGGCTTCTTCATAGACACATGGAAAAAGAATTAACACTTCAATGATCACCTTTTAAACAAGATAATGTGTTTCTGTAGAAACCAGGAGAAACCTGTATGGTGTTTGGACTTTGTGCTGCCCACAAGGAGGAACTGCTGAAACCTTCCCACCATGCAACCAATGCAGTGTCCGGCTCTAAACTCGGCTCAGCCACCACAACCCACCTTAGTGTGAGTAAGCAGAAGTTGATGTTAAAATGAAAGTTGAAATTAAAACTTATTATTTTCATAATTCAAATGTCCCTCTTATCAGAGTATTCTCTCTCTCTCTCTCTAGGGGCAGTTCAACCCAGCTTGCAGCCTGTGTTTGTTTATCATCAACAAACTGGAGACCCTGTTGCCCAAGAATATGACTGAGGTGACTCTTTTATTTCTATCACTTTGTTTTAAATCGGGCAGATATCCCTCACCGTACACCACATCATGTAAATATCTTCTCTTCCCTGCAGGATGCTTTGATGAAGATCATGGAAGAGGTCTGTGATCTCCTACCACACAGCTATAAGGACCAATGTGATGATTTTGTCGACAAATATGGGACGCAGATAATCGAATTCCTCTTATCGTCTGCAGCACCTCACACAATATGTATTCTTTTGCACGTCTGTTTGTTCGAGGAGCAGCCTCTTCCAGGTCAGTCCCATGTTTATAATTAGTACATTAGGCCAGCATTTGCTTAGTGGTTTGACGTGTAAACCAACCCTCCACCAACAACTTTAACGCTCTGCTGATTCCCCAGAGTTGTCCCTCCCCTCGGATTGTGAGTTTTGCCGCACGCTAGCTGTGCTGAGCCGCCTACACCTCGGCCTCAACTCCACCGAACCTCAGACTTCCTCTTTCCTCCAGTCTGTGTGTGTCCTTCACCCAAATGCTATCCCCAAGGTCTGACCCTCAGTTCCCACTTACTCTAAATATCCCTCAGCACCCAAAAACCACTATAACTAATGAATGTATGGCTATTCCTTGTTCATTCCTTAAATTCAAGTAATTTAGGCAGTGAGGTAGACTAAGCAATAATGTCTTTGTCACATAGCATAAAAGTAAGCAACTCTCGTGCTCTTTTCAGTGTGAGGCCTTCATCCAAATCTACAGCTCCAGACTGCAGAAGGTTTTGGGAAACCAGATGGACGCCCAACACCCTTGTGAAGTAAGATTAAACACTTTTAACATGACGTTTCTCACTGGAGGGACAAAGAGGAAACTCTTATATCCACAAGTCTTCACACAGTCCTACAGATCCACCAGAGGATTAGTCTGCAGTAAATGGTGGAGCAGTCATGGTCAGCAGGTCTACACACCTTCACCGGGGCTGAAATTAGCTCACTGACTGACATGAATTTTACGAATATTTATGACTTGCAGCAGCACGCTTCTTATGGTGGCTTAAAAAATACACAAACTTTTGTTGATTTACGAACATGATTTACAAATGTATGATGGGCTCTGGTCCACGCAACACTAATCACACTTGAATACTCATGAACACACATTCTTTTGGCCCTTCCGTCCCGCAGAGAGCCGGTCTGTGTGTTGCCGTGAAGAAGTTGGAGCCGCTGGGAAAGAATCGTTGTACTTGGGGGCCGAGCTACTGGTGCAAAGACATTCAAACTGCTCAGAAGTGTGGCGTAAGTTAAATTCAAGAAAATTGCAGTGTACAACATGCGTAATGTATTTGCCATTTGTAGCAGTGGCCAACCACATATTGGGAAGGATATTTCCCAACCATCAAACCTGCCCCAGGCTTTTCTCACCTGCAGGACTGTTCTTCCTATTATTTTGAGTCTACCATATGATTGTTTTCAAAATGTAGTTCCATGATGAATAACTAAGTCATACTGTATTTATAGTAATCAGGTGATAAAACTACTCGGGTCTAAAGAGACACCATACACTACGCTGACCAGCTGACTAATACTTTAAACTTTCAAGTAATGTGATTTTGTGAATAATTCAATTTCTGTTTCACATCCTATTTCTGTTTTTATCTGCAGAACCAGGCCTTCTGTGAGAAGTACATGTGGAAGGAGTGAACCAATCTGCCAGCACAAAAATAATTACTTTCTTTTTACAAATGTATTGCACTGATCAACTCTTCTTTTTTCTTTTTGGGGAAATTCATGTCATATGCTATTTTGTTCAATAAGCGTAAATATTGATCCTGAAATGATTCTGTTTGTATGACGTGTCACAAGACTGGGATTCAGTCTGAAACATCAGTTTGTGCAGTGATTAACGGTTTCGTGAGCAGCATTAAATCGGTAGATTGCTAAATATGTCATTATGAATGTGAAATTGCAAAAACCTTTCATTACATAGGATGAGCCATCAGTATGTATGAAAGACTATTATTCTATTAGAATATGATCCCTGGTGCAATCAAGCACATACACATGACAAACTCCTCAACCTTCATTAAAAGTCAACAGACAAGTCACACGTGTCCTGGAGTTTGTTTATTTGGAAACATCCACATGGTAAAAACATAAAACAGTGAAAAAAATCATGGGAGTCATTTACATTTATTTGCTTTTTGTGGTGCTAAAGAATACATCTTGACGCTCTTTTACCACTCACTCTATATTCTGCCGTTATCTTTAATCACTTAAATAGCCAGTTCATTTCCAAAATGAGGACAACACTTCTGGCCATTCACACTGAGGAAAATGCTGCCTCACTTACACCCCTGTGTGGTTGTTTGTGTCATCGTCTGTCTCTTGTCTCTTCCAGATCTAAGAGAGAAAGAAAAAACACTCCTGGTTACGTTCAAAGACAATGTTTTACTTAATGATTTAAAACTGCAATCTAGGATGAAAAAAGGATTCAACTGATACAGGTTTTTGAAGGCTATGTTATATTTTTATCTTTTAATGAAAACTCATAATACTTTTTCCTAATATTGATAACTATCAATTAATATGTGCAAAGAACAAAAATGATTTGATATATTTGTATGCATTGATGCGAAAGATGATGCATATTGAAAGGAGTAATATGATCTATTCATTATTTTTGTTCGTATCACTACTAACAGTCCATGTGAGTGCCATCAGATGAAAGGTGATGACATTTTTATGTCACTTCATGTTGCACAGAGACATACGGAGTAGGGCTGGGCGGTATGACCAAAAATGCATATCACGGTATTTTGTAAGATTCTGGCGGATTCACGGTGCTCTCCCTGGAGACTACTGGACATCTCCGTGGTCAACTCAGCAGACACTTACATTTTAGTGCACCTATATGCTGAAATTCACAGTAAACGCATTTAAATGGCACAGATCGGGAGTGAGCGAAGGACTTTGAAAGTTAGCGGAAAGATTAACGTGAGACAACATCCAGTTTCTTCAGACGAACATCCGGTTTTCAGAATAAGATGCCAACAAAGTATGAATTATATTCACATTAAGTATAAAACATGCTACCTGCATCTCGTGAACCAAATGGTATTGCCCTTTTGTTCATATAGCAGTACTTTTAAAATAAAAGTGTGCAATACACTACTTTTGAATTCATTATTGAACTTTGCCATAACAATGCAATTAATCGCAAAAAATTCATGCGATTAAATATTTTAATCGTTGCCCAGCACTAATTTTATATATATATATATATATATATATATTCTTATCACGTACATTTATAACAAATACCACACATATTACGGTAATCAGCGTTGCATATGTGTCTGACCTAAATACCTTTTGTTGTTCAGTCTTTGTTCATCCTGCATCGCTATTTTCTGTTCTTTAATGTAACGTTACTGGAGCGACAGAGCCTCTCCCAGCTGTTAGCAGACTGTTAGCAAGCTTTACCCAGCATGCAGTTCGGCAGAGAAATTTTATAAATGTACAATTATTAGTGCTACAAATTGTTTATCTGTCACAAACTGTTGTGTCGTGGTGTTTAGCCCTGTTAAAGAGCATTAGTTGTGGGTTGTTAATTGTTGTTATAAAGTTATGACCATGACTAGAGGTCCCTCTCAATACAGCTAAGACAACTAGCTCCTAACTAACTCCGACCATAGCGTTCCCAGCGGCGAACAATATATTTTGCTGCCTGTTGAAGAGCGACAGAAGTTGTTTCGGCTGTGCACCGGTATGACAGTATATGAGAAATTCATATCGTACGGGAAATTAAAACTGGTATACCGGGAAATTAAAACTGGTATACCGGTTGAACCGGTATACCGCCCAGCCCTAATACGGAGCCAAGCTTCTGCAACAATTACACTTCCGACATGCTCAGAATGAGTTGGAAGACTTGCCTGGATGTAGGCCTCCGACAGTGTAATCATCTGGGGCAGAATGTCAGTCACCTGCAGATCCTGCATCTCGTACCACTTCCCAGTTCCCTGATTAAACACAAAAGCAGATTAGTTGAACGTGTAACAACACAACACTCCCTTGGTCAGACAGAATTTGATACATTGTGTGTATACTAATGCCACCAGAGATCATTTCAAAAATATCTGGCTGCAACTTACATGATGCAGAACATGTATTCTGTACGCTCCCTCGGTAGGTTTCCCATCATGCACTACGTTGGCAACAAGGTCATAAGTTGTGTTTTTCTCTGTCAGTTGAGCTTCTTCTGTCAAGTACTCACGGAGGTCTACATTCCTGTCGAAGCAAATACAGAGTGACAACATAAACAAGTGCATATTCATACGGAGGACAAAATACACATGTCCATGGCATCTCACAAGAGTTACATTACACAACAATAAAAACAACCATTCATTACTGCTATCAACATGCACTTCATGGTTCTTTTAGGCACTTCATTTCGTCTTACAGTATATGAACAACACTTACGTGATGGGGAAATTGACAATTGTGGGGTTCTTTTCCACAAAGAAGTTGTTCTTGGTGAATCTTTTGATGCAAAAGACGAGGTACGGAGGCAGTTTGGTCAGCTGGAACCTTTTGAGGAAATTCTCTTTGTAGGTTTTGTACTCCTGAATGTAAATGAGACGGGAGAGCATGCACGGGTGCTCAGTAAAAAAACAAACGAAAATGAGAGCGGATGGCACAGATTTGATGTGCGGCCGATTGCCCTATGCCACACTGCAAGTTGATTGTCTTTTTGCAAAGCACTGTTGTAGTTATTTGTGGGTAGTTGTCAGAAGTTAGTATTTCTTTTTAAGAAGATAGCAACTGTGGACACCATGAACGATGTGAATTATCTTCTACAGCACACGTGTGAAAGTGTTCCTTTTGAAGAAAAACTCAAATCACAGATTTAACGTGGAGTTGTTCTCCAGAAAAAATAATAGCTTGTCAGAGTAATAGCTTCTTTTGATTCCTGTGTGCGCTGTTATGAGGGGATAGTACCCGGTCAGAGAAGCATCTTTCTGAGAGGATTATCAAACATGAAACCAAATGGACAACATGGTAAAATTTGGGCTTGCTCAGCAGAGGACATATATAGCTACCCAAACTGACAGCTTAATGAGCAGTATAACAGAAAATTGAGGAGAGCAGATGTATATGATTGTGATGTACCCAGTCAGATTATCAGCTGTGCTAAACTGTGTGTGAAGTGTGAAACAGTGCATTACGCTAATTGGTAATTTTCTGGTGTTGCATCAGTCCAAAGTAGTTGTTGCTCGTTTTTTTTAGCCTAAAAACACCACAGGGTGTGACGATGTCAAAATGTATTCATCCAGTTTTGGGCCAAAAATATTCAGAGACACCAAAGTGTTCTGTTTAGATTACTGCTTTGCAACATTGCTTTAAGTCATTTTTCTATTTTCTATTGCACATTATGTTTACGAAAACCAGTACCTTCTCTGTGTTGCCATTGAACTTGCCCAGGATGTTGAAGAGAGGGACCTGCGGGATGATGAGCTGCTCCTTCTCATCCTTGTACAGTGGAGCTGTTGGGAGGTCAAGGGTTAGAAACAGGAAGGTGGACTCAGACATCTGCTCCTGGTACTCCTCTGTCACGAGCAATGCCTGTTTCTCCTCAGGTGTCTGGGAAATAAAAACAACAAAGGACTTAAAATCATGTTTTCACAGGGATTCAACTGAAATAGTACACACAGTCAACCACTGTTAGCAAAGTTAGATTTAAGGGCATGTGAAAATAGAGAATATTCTTTCGCCCTTTGCCTTGTATCTGAATATCACATCCGCCATGTTAGGCTACTTTTAATCCTCCTCACGTTGCTTTTCATTTGGGCTGCTTCAAAGTTTAGTACCAAGTATTTAACATTGCCTCAGAGAACCTAGAAGCTTAATCAGAGAAACTTTTAAGTAAAATATGTTTTTTTTAAACCTTCATTTGACAAGAAAATCAATTCAGAAGGAAAAGAGGCTTATTATTATTATTATATAACAAAACTGGTCAAATTATTTAATAAACCGTATCATTCATTTTCCAGATGTCAATAAATTATTTCCTAACGAGCAGTAAACTCACTAAATCTGGATGTGGAAGTTTCTTCGAGAAGATCCGCATGGAGCCTTGAAATGCTTTTGCGATGATTGCTATGAGGGCAGAAAGAGAAATGTGGGCAGAGATGAATTCACATTCTTTTATCAATTAATAATATATGAAACATTTGACATGCTAAGACTAACTAAATTAAATTCAACCCAGGAGAAATTTGAAGAAAAAAAAATACCATTCACATTTGGTAAAAAACTGTATCAGTGTTTTTTCTTCATCTCAGAAACATTTACCATTAACATACCAAACCATTAAAGACTGCAATTGTGTATAATATGAGCAAACAATTGGGGATGAAGCCATTTAGATTCTCTTCTGACCCACATGTTTTTTTCTTTGTGCCTCCAAGAGCACCATGTAGAGCATTCAAGAACCACGTCATGAAGTCCACAGCATCTCCTGCACAACAGAAAACAATCAATCAGCATCACAGCCTAGTTTCCAGAGAGCAGGATGTGTTAACAACCTATCTGAGATCTGCAGAAGTGTCGTACAGTACTGCAGTTTCAGTTTATGTCAACTAAAGCATTACCTTGCTTGGTAATTTGGAAGTTCTTCTTGCTGCACAGCACAACAGCCTGTAGCATCTCATGTGGAGACACATGAGCTTTGAAGTTTCTTGGATTCCACAGTTTGCGCATCAGCTCACCAAACCTCTGCACCAAGAGGAACATGATGTCCCCCGGTGGCCTGCGGATTTCTTTGTAGTTTTCCTCCTCCAGGAAGTAGTTTCGCAACGGTGGAACATTGGAAAAAGCCTTGGTAGAAGAGGAAAACATGAATTGGTTGGGATTGATTAAAACCTTTATGACAAAGTCCAGAGACGGTCCACTGTGGCAGCTATTCGTACCTGCAAGACCACGTTGGCGTAGTCATTGGCTTTGATGTTGTTCAGCCCCACAATGCCTGGCAGGTAGGTCGTACCATCGTAGGCTCGGTATAGTTTACCCTGCTTGTCCAGCCCTGCAATGTGCTGCTTGGTGAAAGTTGGTTTCAGCACATACTGTAGAGAAAGTGAGGAAGTGTCAACAGATTACAAACGCAAAAGTATACAGTACAGTATTTTTGACGCAGCACCTCAATACTGACAATGTGATACTGAGCATATAATCTATTTTATGCTGTCAGAGCATGATGCTCTTTCATGTAAAGAAGATATGAATATTGTACGACTTGACTGTGGTGCAATCGTTTAAACCAGGATCAGATGACAACTAAGACCCTAATACAAAATATCAACAACTCCTAAATATATAGTGTTATAACACAATATCAATATTTAGAGTGATTATTTACCTCTCAGCTCTACCCAAAACAACATTGAGAGTGCTGAGGGTACTCAGCATAAAAATGAATTAAATGTAGTATGATAACGACATGCCATCCTCTTGTAACACCACGACGTTACTCACTGTGATGTCTTCTAGTGAAGAGTCAATGATCTCGTAGTTGTCCGGCAGACAGTAAAACTTGAGAGTGTGCAGATTGAGGAACACGTGATGGGTAAACTGCACACTGTGCGTGTAGGCATGGGACTTCAAACCTCTACCTACAAGGACGCGTACATGTTTTAATCTGTCAAAGGACAACAAGGTGTTTGATCCCTGGTTGAATGTCAGATCTTTCACCTACCTTGAAAGTATTTCCCACATATAAGGCAGGCATAGACATTGATGTGGGAGAGAGAGATGGAGCACAGTTTCTCAAAGTCAAAGTCCAGCACACTCCTGGTGGACAGACAGAAAAGCCTGGGAATCAGCTGAAGAGCTATAGAGGAGGACAGGGCTAACTAGCATTTAGCACTGACATTAGCTATGCACATTCAACTGTATCTTGCCTGTTTATGGTGTCAAGGTAAGGACAGTGGCGGCTTCTCCGGTCTTCTAATACACGTCCTCGGCCCAGTTTGGCTGCCACTGCGACATCAAGTGAAACAAAACGAACAGAGTCGGACCATATTGTGTTCAGTCGGTTGAATGTAAACTAGCTAAACAGGCTAGCTAACATAGCACTCGGGTTGTTGGCAGATGATGGATTTGATATTTACAGTGATATTAGGACGGTTCGTTTGTTTTAGCCAGTTACATATGTATACTGTAGTGGTGCTTGTTGGCCTGTGTGACTGAACAGACCCGTGAATAGAATCTAACTAACTTTTATCTGGCTCCTGGTAGCAGTAGTGGGCTACCTGCTAACCAAACGCAGCACGTTACCTCTGCCATCGTCGCCATCGTCGTCATCGTCCTCCTCCTCCACTTCAGCCTCTCTCTCTCGCTTCAGAGAAACCATCATAGCAGTTAGCGAGCGAGCGAGCGTAATGTCAAAACAGCGAAGAAGGCACACGTTTATTTGGAAGAGAGTTGAATGGGTCGAGCACCGTGCGCGTCGAAACTCGCGGTGGTTGAGCGGCTTTACGTCGAACTACCAAACAGGAGACTAAAAAGTATCCCGGAGTTTAAAGCTAGCAACATCGATCAATGAGCTGCTCGAATGTGATAACTTGCTGATTTATGTAAGCATAACCTAGTGTTTTTATATTTAATGTGTTAATGTTCTTTCTGGGTCTGTCCAATAAATGTTTTCTCTATTAAAACAATGTGTATTTTTTAAAATATATTATTAATTTGTAAACTCCGGGATTGTTACATTTGGACAACCATTTACAATTAGCTAGCATGTAACGTTAGCTTTTTGTCAGTGGTGCCTGTGGGTCTGCTTGTTGCAATCATAAGCTCACACATACTGTCACCGTAGTGGAACTGTTTGTTAAAATGGATATTTTAGAAGACGATGATCAGGATGAGCTGAAATACAAACGTAGCGGCCGCTTGGATATGAGCCACGGCTTCCTGCACCATATCCGGAGGAACCAGATTGCTAGGTGATTGCCGCAACGACCGTTAGCCAAAGCTAGTCACGTTAGCTAGCACACTAGCCAGGTTCTATCACCCTGCCTCTGTCTTCAGAGTTGCATCGACTCAATGTTGTGTAGAAGTTGATCTGTTGGTGAAGGAAAGGCCAGTGGTGGTAACTTATCCTCTTACGCTCCAAATGAAAATATAAAGAAATGTAGCATTGGCCAAAGTTATAAACTGGAGGGAATATCATATACCGTTAGCTGTTAACCGCGTATTGCAAAGAAAGGAATCAAATTCCAGTTTGTAGACGGGTTCAGTCAGTGCTGCATACTGTTGCAGGACCCTCATGATTAATGGATAAATAAATAAAAAGTACAAAGCATCGTTTACCTCACATTCTGGTATTTAACACTTTGCCTGATATTTATTCCTTGTATGTGTTATCTCTACTGGTTGGTGATAGTGTAAGATTTTTAGGGGTATGTAATGCATGACCTTAAGAAAGAATAAAACCTTTGCCTTTGCTGCTAACCATTCACACAGCATAGATGTAGGCAATGAAAAATGCAATTGGGGAATGCCAAAATTCGTTTGTTTCTGAAATGCATTTCACTAAAGAAGAAAATATAGAAGAAATCATGAGGCATAAAATGTATTCACGTTGACTATACTTTTTTGATGGTAGAAAAAGAATAGAGCTGGAGTGAAGCAACTTCCTGCATGTACCCTTAGACTCATTGATATATTGAATCGTTTTTTGTTTGTTTTCGGGAGACAGGATTGATACTTATAATCCTTATCTGCAGTAAAACAATAACATGACCTTATTTCTGTTTAACTAACTAGGTTAGAAGTTCAGAGATATGTTAAACTGCGTGTCTTTGAAAGCAATAACATTGATTTCTTGGCTTCTCAAGAGATGACTATGATAGAGAGGTGAAGCAAGCCAAAGAAGTGAAGCAAGCCAAAGAGCTTCAGCGGCGGAGGAACACCACAACCCCGAGACGACCCCGGCGGCCTGATATCCAAGTGTACCATCCTCGACGCAGATGTAAGTTTGATGCACTTTGGTATTACGCGTTTGCCAACAGTAAATCCAGTAACGAACATGCATGCGTGTGCTCATTTTCCAGATGAATCAGAGCCAGGGGCCGGTGCTGAGGCTGAAGAGTCGAATGAGAGTGGGTCAAGCACAGAGACAGAGACCCATGGTACTGAACTCTTCTGGCTTGACTATCAGGCGGACTCTGGTACCCTTACCTCCTTCCTGGTGCACAAGGTTAACACGGATCCCTTTGACTGATATTTCTGGCTCTTTGATCTATTGACTTTGGTCTTAATTACCTCATGCTCTCTCTCTCTGTTTCTACAGGAGGATAAGCCTGAGAAGGTGGTGGATCGTGTCACAGAGAAGAACATCCTGGATTCAGCCATGAGGGCAGCTCTAGAGGCTCGAATTCGGAAGGAAATTGACAAAAGACGAGACAAACGTTGAGTGATATTCTCAAACAGTTGACTATGATGACAGAGGGGCAATCAGCAAAGAGGAGCAATACTTCATTTTCAGTTCTGCACCTCTACATAGCATTAACGCTGTTGACAGTGTTGGGGACACACCGAGGACTCTGGGATCATGTACAGTGACTATCAGCAGAGATCCAACTTCATGACCCACAGTGAATCTGTCTTTTGTTTGTGAAGGAGAAGGAACAGCACTTATCAAAGACAGTATGGTTGGGAGTTGACTGTCAGGTTCATATGTACTACATTTTTCTCACCTTGTATTGTTACCTCACACCCTCATTCATAAGTTTAAGGACACATTGTACACCTTCAAGTTGGACTGGACCTATGAAATGATATTGTTGCTTTCTAACAGCTAAATCCAGAAAAGGAATATGTACTCTTTGACAGAGAGCACTGATGACCTCCCTCCTCTGTTGAACATGTCCTGTGTTTTTTTGTGTTTACAAAGATCTAGCTTTTATAAATGAGATTAATCCTTTTTTTTTGGTAAAATGCTGTGAACGGAGCATCAGTCTGTCAGTGATTCTATGTTCGGAAATGTGAGAATGTAGATTTGTTTCCAGTGTGGCTGTGGCCATGATGATGTGTTTGTGTGTTTGTTTTGAGTATTCTAATTTATTTTGGATTTTTAAAAAACTTTTATTTTTGATACCGAATATTTTTTGAGGACACGAGTCTTTTACGTACAAAACAAATGACACATATGTATAAAAGCCCTTTATTACTGTCCAATTGTGTCTGGATGAGCACTTGTGGAATTGAACAGCCATAAAATGTGAATGCTTTTTCTTAGTGTCTTGATGTGTTGTAAAAACTCTCAAATGTGTGGGCGGGGGGGAAATACTTTCTATCCTGAAATACACATATAGTATTGGGGATACAACAAAATACTATATCAAATGCAGTTGACTGAATTGTGTCACATCATGTCCTCAGCAGGTGGCAGTATGAATCAGCCTTTCAAATCTGCAGGCCTGTCGTCTAAACTTTTGTCTTAATCCTTCATCAAATTAGATTTTTGGCAATAAGTAGTGCATAGTAACAGTGTGTTATAATTATGAGGACAAAATAGCCAAACTCATTTTCTATTCACAAGACATTACCAGTTATTGTCAATCATTCTGAAATGTCATATAGGTTCTTCTGTGGGTAAGGACACTTCAGGCACTACTTGTTGAACTTTTTTTTTCGAAAGGTATAAAGAAAATGGAGAGCTAAATCTTGGAAATCTATTTTGCTGTCAGACATTATATCATTGCTTTTACTACCTTCCAACCTGTTGGACTAGTTTTTCTGTTGGTAGCCTGTTTTCCCTGCTGGAACAAAGCCAGCAAGTTAGAACACACCAGGGGTGTAGCCGCCCTCTACTCAAATTCTCTGAATATGTGAAACTGACAAGCCTGTCATCTACAACAAAATTGATTGATTGAGTTTGGCAATCACAAACTCTGACAGAACGGCCCAGGGACACAGAGATAACCAAAATTGAGTTCTTAAAAATGTCAGCATTCCCCATTCAAACATAGATACCAGCAGTTGTGCACAAGATAAATGCATCGCTGTCTCATCAGACAGATAAATGGCTGACTAATACTTCCCATCCCCATGATGAAACATTGAAACACAAAGGTCCACTAACACCACAGGCTCTGGTAAAAAAAATACTAAGTTGAGTTGACAATAGGACAGACAAGCTGCTGATCCACACCTTACTAGGGGATTAATTCATTGTTTTCATAAATTTATAAAAATATGCAAACTTCATCCTGTGACCACATGGCGGGCCAAGTCCCCAAAGTGTTATGCAAAGCCTAGTCAAGGAGCGGCCTCTGCTGTGCTATTGGTGAAACGGAAACACTCCCCTTTAGGTTGTCTACACACACTTCTCCAGCTCACTTTTCATCTTCCTTCTCCAGCTCACTTTTCATCTTCCTTCTCCAGCTCACTTTTCATCTTCCTTCTCCAGCTCACTTTTCATCTTCCTGTCAGCATGTGACTGAGGTTATGAGAGGTTATTGAGGTTGTGAGACTGAGGGAGACACATTCCCATGACGACAGATTATCTCCAGTTTCAATTGGCTGAAAATGACCCAATCACAACACACACCTTCACACCGTCCCCTCTCAGTGCAGATTCATATAACAATGTTATATAAAGCACAACTGGTGATGCAGTTATACGTGCCCAGGAAACAATAGTGGGATGTTCTGAAAGCCTGACAATATGCAATTTACTGAACATGTACGGTAGCTGGCAGGCAGGCAGGCTGGCAGTTATGGCAATATGTGAATATTGCATAATATGTTGGATCTTACATAAAACATTTTTCCATTTAGACATCATGTGCAACGCACATTTAACACACATTTGGGAGGTTTTAATAGGATCAACATGTAAACAGCACAAAAAGTAAGGAAATTTGTGTTTATTCGATTATTTCTTTGTTGTAACAATGCGTCTTGGCTATGTTTATAAACACGTTGATTTGGACCGTATTTGCAAGTGGCTTTTAAACTTACTCAGCCAGGTGAAGTAATCTCCAAGAAGGCCGTTACGTAACATTGTGCAGACTTTAGTTTGGGCTGGGTTCAATGACAAATTGAGTCTAATGTCATTTAATAACAGTCTATATCCAATCTTGGAATCTCTCCAGGACTATTACACAATTACACAATTGCATGACTGTGAAGAAGATTGATTTAAAGTGTGTAATCCGATGCACCTTTGTAACAGAAGATTGTTATACGGTGTAATTTTTCAACACACCCAAATCACATCTACAGTGTTAAGAAACTCAGAATATACTTAACATGTAGATGGTTATGGTTCATTTTTTATTGGATATTTGACATTGTCAAACCATGTAGGCAATAAGGCAGTATGAATGAAAAAGCTATTGCTATAATTAGGGCAAGTTGGAAGGAATTTATTCAATTTTTGCATAGGACTATTTTAACAAAATTTCAGCATTAGACTATAAAAATAGTCAAATACAGTAAAAGCGAATGTATAAATCCTTTAGACCCAAGGTAAAAAAACACTATGAATTGCAAGACAAGCTGTGAAAAAACCAGTTCAGACAACATTGTTTGCATTCTCTTCTACATTGTCACTTTAAGAAAGCCTGCTAAACCAACAGCAGTTTTAAGTGCACCAACGTTAACTAGGTGAGAAATGGGGTTGTAGTAAAGTTCCTGCAAATGTACAGTAGAGCAACAGCAAACTGGCACAGATATAGCATCAGCTGTCACCCAATCCTTGAAAGAAACTCCATTGGCCTCAACTAAGTGCTGACCTGCTTCTGCCCTTTACACCGTGACCACTCTCTACACTGTTGGGCTCCTTCGTGTGTGTTGGCTGTGTGTAAAATCGCTCAGTCTTGAACAGTGCTTGGTCTCACTGCCATGCTGTGTTTTAGGTGTCCGTATACTGCTTTGTTTTGTGAGCAGAGCACAGGTGGTGTCCTCTCAGCTCTTTGTTGTGGGAAGAATTGTCTGTCTGGTTTTCTTAAGGAGAAACAAAGATAAACTAGAAATTTGCTTCTAACCTGTATGTGCCACAAAAAGGTACTTTTCAGCCCAAATGACTTATGGTGCAGCAAGTTAAAGTTTGATGCCTTGTCAGCACGTGGTCACCTCAGAGAGTGTGTGTAGTGCAATGCTCTTGAGGAACAGTTTCCCAAAGTGTTATTACCCCCCTCCCCCCATGTATTTCAGCTGCCTCCGTCAGTGCTGGGATACCGGTGCACTCTTGAATGATCGTGCCCATTCAAGGCTGTGGAAGATAACCTCCCCTGACCATTCAGAGTTAAATATAGACGTTTGACTGAGCAAACGTGGTAGTGAAAAGGCACAGCTGCAGTGGTCAAACTACAGACAGGACTTCAGGTCTGAATTTGATGACATTACTTGAGCATGAATATATTTGATATACTGTAACTTTACTGATGTACTTATTTCTGAAGCCAGCTTGCATAGATGTATTTCGAGTTTGTAATTCAACTGCCAAACGCAGAACACAAAAAGCTCACTGAGTCAAACGGGCAGGCAGATACAGCTAACAGATACAGGCAAACTAAAAATTCTTCCAATACCAAACATCGCACCAACAAAGAACAAAGTAAATCAGGTGTCAAGGTGTATGAATAGTGACCGACTAACGAGGAAATTGAGGACAGGTGAGTAGGAGGCGAGACAGTGCAGGACTAATGAGGGACAGGTGGAACTGATCAGGGCAGACAATCAAAAATGTTGGAAAACTTAAAAAAAAAAAAAAAAAAACAGGAAGTAAAATCAAACATGACACATGAGGAGTGAACTTCAACAACAGGAGACTAAACAATAAACCCAAGACCATGCCAGCTTATGTATGAAAATAAAACATACAATCAAAGTAAGCATGTTTCATCCTATCTGTGTCGTTGGTGTTGCCATGGGAGCTAAACTTTGCAGGTCTCCATAACACTAACACTAATGCTTATGGGGCTGCGATCAGATGTGCATACCCCAAAATCAGCCGCTCATTGATTTACAAAGCTGCAGGATTTATGTGGCATAGTAAAGCTAATTCTAGTAAAAAAAAAAAACTCACTGGCTCAACTTCCTTGTATGCACTGCCTTGCGGACATCTCCTTGTGTTGAGTGACAATTACATGATCTTGTTTTCCCAGCTGAGTAAGACTACATTTTACTCATGTGCATTACTATTGGCTAATATTTTCCAAAATGCCATCTGTCATTCTTTAAACTCTGCTTATGCAAATGTAGCTTCAAATCCTGTAGGAACAAACCAGACCCGTTCTACATTACCTAAGATTAGTAGGATTTAGATTTAAAGCCACACATGCATTTGAGAAATGTTCGTTGTTAAAGTTCAAGTAGCAGTCTTTTGAATTCGCTGCTGGGCTTTAAGGGACTGCTTATGCACAACAGAATACCACCTTGTGTTTATTGTATCTGTCAATTTAGTTTTTTAGGTACCATTTCAACTATTGTTAATATTCAATTTAGTCAAGGAATGTGTTGATTGTATAACAAAAAGCCCACTGGCATCTGACATTGTTCATGCTGCCCAGCTGTATAAAAGTGTCTGTCATGAATGGAGTGTACCAACTACCAACAAGCACCAAATATTTATAAATGTATGTGTCTACACTTCCGATGCCATTTAAGTACACTGCTATGCTGCTGATCGGTGAAAATGCTTTACCGCTACATGTTTGAGGAGACTCCAGCAGTTTGCTGAATGTGTGAAGTCATTTCTGCTTTACACTTTCTCTGCTTGAAACCTTTCAGCTTGAGAAACTGCTTAGTCACACTTTGCCAGTTGCTGTATTTCCCACGTCCACATTTTTTGTATTATGTTACATGACTGTATGCTCACACCTCCGAGAGCCCTTTGTGCTTATTGGGGCTTATTGGTGCGACCGTGGCTCACTGGGTTAAGAGGGTTGTCTGGTAATCACAAGGTCAACGGTTCGTGACTGGGACGTGTCAAAGTGTACCTGAGCAAGACACTGAACCCCAGGCTCCCCGGGCACCTGTCATTGGCAGCCCACTGCTCCCTATATACAGGGATGGGTCAAATATAGTATAATAAAAAAAAATAGGTTACAATATTAAAGTCGCAATGGGCCAAATGTCCTTGATGAAGAACTGTGAACTGCAAATGGCCACCGAGTCAAAGTTATTGATTGTTATTAATGAAGGTTCCCCTTTGACACATTTGAATTCCTCTATTAATCTAGATAATGGTCACTCAAGAATCCTGTCCAGTCATCCCTGTTCCTAATTGTTAGCGGCATTCACCTTTCAAGAACCTTTGAAAAAAAAAGATAAAACCATGTAATCAATGTGAGTTTTGAAGGCTGGCTATTTGGTGTCACATCAAGAGCATAAATGCTGAGTCATTATAGGAAGCAGAGACTAGGCCTCGTCTCAAAAGGGGGATGTTGAATCAAAAAGGGCTGTTGCTAAAGGGTGCAACAATAAATGGACTCCTAACACACTTAAACGCAAACACTCCTAAAGTCTGTCCCAGTCACATTCGAAGTAACTTAGATTAAATTGCAGTGCTCAATTCATACTGGGAAAAACAACAAAAAAGACCTGGGAGCCATCCTCGAGAGCAACCTCAACTTTCACAACACAATTTGAGAAAAACTAATTCAACAGGAAAAGCCTTCTTTGAACACGAAGCCAACTGGCTGTGCCGTTAATCTCCAGGAGCTTGTATACCCATCACACTAAAAGTATACCGACCTTTTAGTTATAGGTTCAAGCAGCTGCTCACGAGGGCAGGAATCTTACCCATCCTACAACCCTGAACTATTCCCCTCTAGCAAGACACACCAAGGCCTCAATAATGGCCCGGCCGATGATTGCAAATCTACCGTCACACAAATCCTTTTTGAGAACTGTCGAGGTTTCACCTAACATACCCGAGTAGCAGCGCACGCTTTTGGCAAATCCCCGCCTTTTAGACTCACGAAGCAGAAAAGCCTCTCAAGAGTAGTGGCTGCATGTCAACACGGAAAAACATTTATGAATGCCATCGTGGAGAAAAACTGGGAGTTTCCAGTTTGATCTTATGTGTAACAGTATCCTGGAGGAAATTACACTTCAAAGTTTTTAAAATTGTTAAGCAACTCAAAAACACGGTGAACAATATAATTCATGGGACACACTTGAGATTCGGCAAAGTATCTTGGGGTTAAAGCACAGCGATGTGCTGCTGAGCCCCTTTAGAGGGCTTTACCAACTTATTTTAATGAAATCTAAAACCTCATTTCAAAAGGGAGACTAAACTGTAAGCCAGCAGCAGTAATCGGTTTCTCGGTTTGAGTAGTACACCGAGCAGGAAGTAGACATTAAGTTCCTTCTTTTTAAATTCAGAACTAAACATTGTAATGTCTGCGATTTAACAAAACATGACAAATACTTTTATGGTGCAATATAGAAAGCTTAATGCCCATGTAAGTCCATTCGTTAGAGTAGGGACAATTTACAAATCATCTCAGTCTTCAATATAGGATCATTGAATTCTTGCCAGGTAAAACGGACACAGACACGGCATTCCAAGTTGCATACATTATCTTGCAACTGGATGCAGTAGAGGACGTCCTGGTATTGCGTCATTTAAATCTCTAGGTATTGGGATAAACTATTATCTGGCATACTAAATAGTAAGGTAGCCTGGGTATTGGAACACACAGCTACTGCCTGATGACGTCAACTAGAGGAATCTCAAAGCTTTGATATTTACACACCTACTTTTATAGCTTTGTTCATTAACCATAACAAATTTAAAAAGCAGAATTTCTGCCTAAACATAAGGCGTTATGTTGGGAGCATAGACCGTCTAAGAGGTTTGAAGAGATACCACCAGTCACAGAAAGTATTTCAAGCCGAGGCAGCTTTTATTACAGGTGGGCTATTCGCATCTGCAGTATGCGCTCAGGTGTGAGACGGGTAATCTTACCGTTTGCCATTTATAGGGCAGGACATTTGCCATTTATGTAAAGATTGATCCAACATGCATGGTATTTGAGCTACCAAACGGCCTTATTACTGATAAATACAAAAAGGGAAACTTAATAAAATGCTAATATTCAAGAAAGTACAGTTTTGCGTTGCGTTGTTTTCTCTCTGGAAAATTAACATTTTCTGACAATAATAAAACACATCAATGACATTTGAAAGGAGTAGTCGTTTATTACAGAGCATAAAGGAACTACCCAGTCTAGACATTAAGCACAATACAGTATCAGCTACTTGTTCCTCTGGAAGTTGAGCGCAATGTTGGTAGGATGGGAGGAAAGCAAATGGGGAGTAGAGGAAATAGAAAAGGCACTCCTACTCTTACGGTAGCCAACGGGGTGACCTCAGAGTGGTAAAGGGGAACAAAACCAAAACCTATCCCACAGATGGGGTGGCTGCGTAAACAAGGCTGGTTTCTCTGTACAACACCAACCAAATGTAGTCATTCCATTGAAGATAGGTAAGAGCTAAAGAATTGCACCAGTCAATTTAATGAGATTTCAAAACCAACCCACTTAAAAGTATGATCTGTAGTCCAAAAAAATGATAAAAACGGTTGTAAAATAGTTACTAACAGTAGCCAGTGACACTTTCGTCTTGAGGCGGCCCAAAGCTTTTCTGTACGACACTCTGGGGCCTCAAGCCAAACACTGAAACATGATCAAGTCAAAAGGAATTCAAGACTCATTAGCCAAGTATGTTTAAAGCTGCCTTCTGAAACATCCGCTTCTCTGTATCCACGCAGAGTTTCAGAGAACAAATAAATAGTGTTGAGGTTTGACTTCAAGCCAGTAAGACTCTGTGGCAAAGAACACTCAATTAAGGATAAAGACGGAGACCAGGTTTCTCTGTAGCTACACCTGCCATCCATATACTTAAAGGAGTAGAAGGGCCGTTAGTCACATCGAACCATAAAAAGCAAGTGAAACTACATTTAAAAAGAGGACTCATTTTAAAATTTAATTTCAATGCATAACAATCCAATTTTGCCATTATTTTCAAGTATAACAAAAACCTCTGCAGACCAGAGCAGTGACATAGCAGCTTCTGACTTTTCTGTATGACGTCAGAAAACAGCAAAGGTCTGTAAGGGGCGTCTGAAGATTTATAATCCTCTGAGAGCTTGAATAATTAGGATTTGGTTCTCCCATTAGTCTGAAATGCATAGCATTTTTTTTTGTGTGAAAAACAGCAACAACCCTTAATTTTAAATTGTGCCATTCTAGCATCCTCGCAGGGGTAAAGCTAACAAAAAAGGACAACACCGACTGGGTCAGGGAATTATTGTACCAGATTGACAAAAGGAGGAATGTTTAGCAAGACACCAAGCTGTTTTAAGGTGCCAGATCAGAGAGAAAAATGTAGATGTTGCGCAGACTCCTACCATCAGTAGCACCAGTAAATTAAGAGGGGTATAGCTTATAGCCTAACATGCTATCGCAATCACGCCGAATACAAGACCGATATTGACGGGTGTGGAATGCCAAACGGAGAATAACTCGATGCAGCTATTCAGGGTCCATCGCGGCAAGAATCGGGGGAACCTCGAGACGTGAGAGAACATGAAGTACTGTGGTGCATGAGTTCATGGAACCCACCCAATTCTTTAAACATAAAGTTTCTGAGCCATGCCTGCTACGACCCACTACGATACCGCAACCAGCAGAAAAACAACAAGAAGACAAGGAGGGAGTTTGAGTGAGAAAGGGAGTCATGTGTTAAAGGATACCATTACTATGAGAGAGATAAGGGCATTTCACCCCCGGAACCTTGGAGGCTTCTCTGTAGTATACACCAACAGGCCTGGGGGGGAAAAGCTTAACATGTTTAGTATTTGAGTTTTTTGGGCACCTCCCATGGGAAGGAGTCTCGGCCAAAGTGGCCATAGGCTGCGGTCCTCTGATACAAGGGCTTCTTCAGATCCAGCTCCCTAGAATACATAATCAACATACTTAGCAGCAGTCACACGCAGCGACCTCAAATGCACACAATCATGCTCACACAGACAAAGCGCTCACATTAGCCGGTTGAGACTGTCGAGTGCCACCAAAAGAATAAAAACATTTTTTTTTTTTTTTTTTTAAACGTGCGATTTGTTAGAGCAGCTGGTTAAGAGGGATTTGTGAAGCTTTGACACTTACCCTGACAACCAAACTCATCCCTGAGCAGTGTGGTTAATGCAGATGGAAACCACACTCTACAATTTACAAAAAGGACGCTTATCTAACTATAATAGGGCTTCATTACAGAAGGGCATCATACACGTCTACCACAATATATTAGACTTTTGCTCTCCAATTCCCCCATGTCTAACCTTCACCACTATACCATATCGTAGAATGCAATAAGGTAATAGCTAAGCTTTGGATCACAAAGGCCACAAAATGCAAGCTGCAGCAAAAGAAGAAAAGAAAAAAAAAAAAAAAAGGGTGCTGCTCTGCAGAGTTTCAATATCTATTAAAATAACTATATCCTGGGAAGGGCAATAAATAAAAGTACAAATCAAAGGCATCAGGACTGGATGGATCTGTTATTTTTTGAGAACAGGTGGCTTCAGAGGTTCAACATTACCTGACAATGACGCCAGGGCGGAGATCAAAGTTCTTCTTTACAATGTCAAGCAGCTCCCTCTCACTCTTGTCGGAGGTCCCGTAGTGGAAGATAGAAATGGAAAGGGGATGGGCAACTCCAATAGCATAGGCAACCTAATACAACACACAAGCACATGCATTATATCAAGAATAAAAAAAATAAAATAAAAAAATAAAAAAAACACACATAATACTTCAGGTGGGAACCCCTTGTAGCCCCTCTCACTAAAAAAAAAAAAAAAAAGCAGCGTGTGCTCTACCACTCACCTGGACCAACACTCTCCTGCAAAGCTCCGCCTTCACCAGAGACTTCGCCACCCAGCGTGCAGCGTAAGCAGCCGAGCGGTCCACCTTTGTGTAATCCTTCCCAGAGAAGGCACCGCCGCCGTGGGCTCCCCAGCCGCCGTAAGTGTCAACAATAATTTTACGCCCAGTCAGGCCAGCATCCCCCTTTGATGAAGAGCATAGGTCACACAGGTGAGCGAGTAACTCGCAGGCTAAACATTTTTCTGAAAGCCACACCCGCCGACATTTACCTGTGGGCCTCCAATAACAAATCGGCCGCTGGGCTGCAGGTGGTAAATTGTGTCATCGTCCAAATAGATGCATGGAACAACAGCCTTGACGACTTTCTCCTTCAGGGTGTCTCTCATCTCCTCCAGGCAAACATCCTCGTCATGCTGAACAGAGACAACAACCGTGTGCACACGCACTGGAAGCATGGCACCTCGGTCCTGGCGGTACTGGACAGTAACCTGTGAAATAAGTGAACATGTAAACGATAATCCCAATTTTAAAAAAAGTGTAATTTATGCTAGTTATTAATAGCAAGTCTAACAACTTTACCTGTGTCTTTGAGTCTGGCCGGAGCCATGGGAGAGTGCCATTGCGACGCAACTCAGCCAGCTTAGCATTCAGTTTGTGGGCAAGGACGATTGTGAGAGGCATACACTCCTCAGTCTCATCAGTGGCATATCCAAACATCAAGCCCTGCAGAGCAAGAGACATTCACTCTTTAAAAAGCATAAGTTTCATTTAAAGACCATCAACTACAGTAAACACATGGCCAACCAACATGTTGATAGCCACTACTGACCTGGTCCCCTGCTCCAACGTCCTCCTCGTTACGGTCAATGTGAACTCCCTGAGCAATGTCCGGAGACTGCTGCTCCAAGGCCACAAGAACATTACAGGTCTTATAGTCAAAGCCTGTGCAAGAGACAAGACAGAAGCACATCAACACACCAGTCTTGGATACCAAACAACAACTACTGAGTAGTCAACACAAAGCACAACTCAGAAATACGACAACATGCCAAACCTTTGGAGGAGTCGTCGTATCCAATTTGGCGGATGGTGTCTCGAACAACTTTCTGATAGTCCACTGTGGCCCTTGATGTCACCTCACCAGCCAACAGGATCATCCCAGTCTTGGCAACAGTCTCTGCACAGGCAACACGGTTGCAAGAAAACAACAGTCAATACAAACATCTGATTTGAGCAAACATAAATGTCAAAAGAAATAAAAAATTTTGCATACCACATGCAACTTTGGCATCAGGATCCTGCTTCAGATGGGCATCCAAAACGGCATCACTGATCTGATCACAGATCTTGTCTGAAAAACAAGAACAACAATGAAACTAAACACCGCAACAGCAGCAAAACTGGGGCCGAATGTAAACGTTGGCACGTTAGCGCCACCGGTCATTCTCGAGCTCAGTGGGAGTGGCTCAGAGACTCAACAGTCGCCATTTCAGCATGTGCACATGTGGTGTGGAGGCAAGGGCGCCAAGTCCACCAGGGACCGGAAGGAATGCGTGATACAGTACTTAATATTTAACCAACTTTGAGTGCCGACTATAAAACATGAGAGAGAGAAAACCAACATACTACCGTACGCTGTTAAAGGCAACAGATCATGCTAGCAGTCACTGTGCCATATGAATGGCCCTGGACGTTTCGGCACGTTCAGGAAAACGCTTACCAATTACAACGAATAATTATATAGTAATTAACGGAGTATTTAAGTAACGTTAACAGTTGTCAATAACAGTGGTACGTTTGCAGTCAGTGGACCTGACATGCTATAGCATCACGTATTCAGAAAGGATTAGCTTTAAAGTTAGCTAGCAGCGCGTGCACTAGACACTGGCTTAGCTAACAGTGCGTAGCGGCAAAAGGCCGTAACGTTCACATTTCAATGATGTAATTACATTAGTTTTTTTCCCCCCAAAATAAAAGTGAAGCGTGGGAATATAACGTTACAGTGCGTCGGGACACATTTAGCTAATTTCACCAGACAGACTCAAAACAGCGGCGTGTAGGGTGAGGGTCTTACCGGGGTGTCCTTCTCCCACCGACTCTGAGGTGAACAAGAAGCAGTCCTCGTCAATGAGGGAGTTATGGAAGCCATTGATCTGCCCGTTCATTGTCGTTAACGGCTGGTGTGTATAAATGTTACGGCGTTAATTTCAAGCTTACGGTCTATCTTTTCTACAAGCAGTGTCTCGGCGTTCTCCCTCCGCTCCAGAATTAGAGTCCCAGTACCTCGGTATGTAGATGCTTGAGCCTCATGGCGCAGAGCTCCACTATATATGCTATGAAGTCACCCGCTCTGACGTCACGAGGAGGCGGACCATACCATTGAGCCTATCGAGGGTGCGCGTGTGTGTCTGTGAGACTGAAGTGAGTGATGTAATAATAGAGTTAATTGCACCTGTGTTGATTTGTCATTTTACATAAGTAATATAAACCCTACCAGTCTTGAATCACGAAGTTGCTGGATCTGACATTAAAACGGCTGGATTGGAATTATGAACTTCTCCACCACCATGCTTCACACCCTCATAATCCTTCTTGTATTCCCTCCTTCCACAGTTTTGATACATGCGACTGTGATGATTCCTGCATAGATATGAGGATGTGGAGTGATGCTTGACACTTGATGCAGCTCAACACTATCCTTCTCACTCCATGTCCTGTTGTGTTTTAAGCAGGTGAAAGTGGAGTTGGTTGGCATTGGTCATTGTGCATACAGGAACATTCAGTTTAAAAGCTTTGTTGCTTATATAGGCCTAACAAAAGTTAAAATGTTAGATGGTGTTTGTTTTTTTAAATGGACATCCATACGATGTGATTTCTCTTTTTCATCATGTGTAATATAAAACTGTGTATCAACAAATACGTGTTTCCAGGAAACCATTATTAGAGTTTGCTACAAACCCACACTGGTATCTAATCTGATAAAATCATTTTATTTTACATGAGAACATCTGAACATGTGCTCCTTTGGATAAACAAGCAGATAAACCTGGAAATAATTGCAACAAAGTGAAAACTGGACAGTGGAGAGCGAGCAGAAGTGGTGTATATCATATCTAAACATAATTTAATTAGACTTTACTCAGAAAGCTTCCATCTGCCTCTTACCCTTCAGGCACTGTTTTTTAATATAATCAAAAGCTGTGATTGTGAACATGTACCTTTGTAGGCAACAGATGGGTTTAATTAATGTCGCTGCAAGGACAGGTTCACCATGGTTTTAGCTCCAACGAAGGAAGGAATATTGTATTCATTTGAGAAGAGGAGTATGGCTATAGTTCAATTCTGGTCCCAGTGTTTCATCCAGAAAATATGTTGAAATTGGGATATTGTGGTTTCAAAGTTTGTGACTCAGACCGCTGCTCCACCAAGAAAATCCATGTACATATTCTGCTTGTCATTGTGAATATCCTGCACCTATGAATCATCCCCTTTTCAAGATATCTTTAAATATGAATACATAGTTTGTCACAGAGGCAATGCATTTATATGAAGGTGTGGAGCACACAATCCCAGTGGTGCTACAAACAAGGCCCAGTGTTCTGTTGTTAAGCAGAGTGACCTGATGTTTTATCTGTTCAAGGTGCTCAATCTGAAGTCAATGCCAGTCACGGTGACAGATAGATAACACAAGCAGTGGCTGTTAGGTAATAATGTGAGATATAGAATAAAGGTACATCAATACCCAACAGTACTGATAAGGGTTATTCCAGTGGCTCATATCACTAGAGGTTATAAATGGTCAAATATCAAAGGTTTTCTTCAGCACAAACATACTGCTTTTACAGTCGAGTATTATTCCTGGAAATTAGACCTTTCAATTTTGCAATCTTGATGGAAAATGCAACCCAGAATAAATCCTCACACTTATGACATTACAGGGCCATTAGTATTGTCTGCTTGTACATTTTTGGTCAGTTAATTTAATGATGTTATGGTTTATTTTCACTAAATCAAGTAACTCAATCTCTAGCCAGTATTGCATCAGAGTGGTAGTCATTTGTCACCATGAATTTGTAGGGTGGACACTTTCTTTTCAGAGGGAAAAAGCATGATGCAAGATGCACCTGCTGTTGCCTTCTGCAGGATGTTTGTCATGTCGTGTCATGTTTATATAGACGGTGTGTAATAGCAAGCAACATCCACTGTATCCAATGACACATCAGAAAGAGCCAAATGGCTGTCCAAAGATGAATAATAGTTGACTGAAGGGCCACCCTAACACTGGTAAACTTTGAATGAAGTTCAATTCTTTTACATAATTGAAGATAATGCATTTGCTCTACTGTTGTTGTATTAAAGACTTTTACATTTCGTGGAAAGGTTTTAGCAGCGCAGACCGGATTCTCTCAGGGAATGGCATCAATATGTTTTTAGGCTCTTCGCCCTTATTTCATTTGTACATCCACATCATCAAACTCAGTCACAGTTACTGTTTCTTTAGCGCTCTCTCATTCTCTTTCACCTTTCAGCAAGAAAAAAATAAATACGTAACTCTTCAGTTTGTCACGTTTTCACTTATTCTGATACATAGAAATAGAGGAAACAATAGATTACACTGTAATCAACATTTTTTCAGCCAATGACAATAAATATGAAGTGACTCAGGAAACACACAGACAGCACAATATCTCACAAGCTTGCTATATTTTTTGAGTCAATTTCATTCACAATTATTCAAAGACCTGTAGACTGAACAATCCACACAATTAAAGCAACATTTGATCTGGATTTACTAAAATGGAAACTGGAGAAATCAGACTCTCTTCACAGTTCCTTATAGAACAAGAAAATAATCATCTATATTCGGTAATATCCATTGACATAATGCTCCCTCACTGGCCAGCAGAATTCAGGCTCATTTAACAATTAAATAAGAAAATAAATACATAATTTAAGTAAAGTCATCTTTGTAGCATAGATTGTCTCCTACTTTGTGTTTTCTACCATACTTAATATTTGGCCTTTACATATATATTTCTTCTATTTTAGCCACACAATTACAAAACAATAACATTCTGGAGACAGAGCTTTCTTTTCATTTACATTTCACAATAGATCTGATCTTATAGAACAATAGAACTGGTCATGACAGCAGAACTGACCATACTTATCTAAATTACCTAAAGCAGGACAAAGTCATACAATCTTAATCTTCTTTTAAACATATCACTCTAAACAAAGGTCCATTAGGTTTTTCATTTCGAAGACAAGACATACAAGAATGCACTATGAAATGTTTCGAATAATTTCAGATTAATGCAAGCATAACTGTCCTGCATCTTCTTCACTTAACACCAACAGTTACATTTTTATACTGTTCTTACCAAGTTTTCCTAACAATGTTCACATCCACTATTATAACAAAGGGGAGTCAAAAACAGCACTTTACGGCACAAAAATCACAGTACCGGAATGTACAGTATGTCCATGCAAACACAGTCACACACACATCCACTGCCACAGCTAACTACACACAAACACACATACAGTCACACACACACACACCTTCCAACATCAAAAACACACACGTCCATAAAAACACATACACACAAAAAGTGATTAAAGACATACCCACTTACTTACAGCTACAACAGTATACACTGTCCTACGCTAACAGCCCAAAAGTACAACGTGTCTAAAATGGTGCATCTGAGGTCACACGGTAACAATGCAACATGACTACTGTGACTATTGTCAGGGTCAGCTAACCACTAGGATCAGATAGGAAGGATCTGAGCAAAAGAAAACACTAAACAAGTAACAGGAGCAGTGAACTTAAAAAAGAAAAGAAAGCAAAAGTCAAATTCATAGAAAGAAAATGAAACATTAGATAGGACCATTTCATGTATTTTAAATATCACATTGGCATTGTGGTATTCACGACAGTGGAGCTTTGTATCGTACAATGCAAAGCCCCATAGTAGCTCTACATAGTAGAGCTCCTGCTCACATTTGTCAGAGACATCCAGATTGATTATCAGCATTTTACTTGCTTCTGTGCTGAAATCATCACACACAAAATGTTATTTTAATACTTATTGAAAATGGAGGAAAAAAATGAATAAGATGTGATTTTTCTCGTTTTCTGGGTAAATCATTTCAAAAGCTAACTTAACTGGTGGCCGAGCCCCCTGAACCCGTCTCCACCCACTTTGGTTCTGCTCTGTTTTATCATGCACCCTGGAGGGTCTTTATTCTTATCGGTGGATCATTTGAAATGCTCCCTGCGTGTTATGCATCATGTTGCCGTGTAAAGCATGCTGAATTTCCAAAGCAGGGAATATCCACAATAGTAGACGTATAGCGCCAAGTCAAATTGCATGGCTATCTCCGTTTGCAGATTTGCAGAAGCTAAATAAAATAAGTGATTGTTGACAGAGCTGGTGATGCTTATGTAGAATGTTTTTGGAATAAAATGCTTTCTCCACTATGTCTCTATGCTCCTCTTGGTCAGAGCGACACATGTTTCACGACTAAAGCAAACGATTTGTGTGAAATGTTTGTGTCAAGTATGTCGTACTCAAAACCGTTTACCGTTGTTGGTATGCAGCCTGCTGACATGACTGCTACGACAGTGCAGAGTATCAAATCACTGTCGGAATATGGGGAAGATGGTTTCTAAAGAGTATTAAGTAACCACTCTTTTACTCTACATGACCATAGCATCCTTGAGTATTTCCTAATGCAAGGTGTCAGCTCCCTGTACTGTCCACACCTGAGAACGGACAAAGGTAGAAGAAACACAGGACAGAGTGAAAGGTTTACAAATAAAAAATATACAATGTGCACAGCTCAATAGAACAACTCAAGGCAAAGTAAGCCCTCTGGACAAACCAGATGGCTTTTCCTGAAAAGGATGGCATCAGAAACTGTATATTTTCATCACAGAAAACATACAGTGTAATGGATGTATTTGATAAAAGACACAACAGTTGGCTATGTGACCTGTGACAACAGCAGGACTAGATTGTGTATCACACCCCTGAACCCTCTGTGTCTTTTTCTTTCTCCTCAGGAGCGGACACCTGGTCGCTACTGTCCTCTGCTGGACGTCCCGTGAACTCACTCTCAGCTGTCGTGGCGGTGACCTCGAGGGCTTTCATTTTGGCCTGTGCGGGGCTGCCGGAGCGGCTGCGGGTGTGGCTGCAATGGCTGCGATGGCTGCGGTGCTTGGCTTTGCGTGGACTGGGACTACGGGACCTCGTCTTCGTGGGGACGACAGTGCCGTCGTCATCCGAGCTGAAGTCAGAGCTGTCAGAAGAACTGGCATCAAGTCCTGAAGTGGGAAGCTGGATCTGAAGACAAATGAAAAAGATGATAAGAGTGGGATTTAGGGGATAGAAAGGTCCCCCTCTTAGAGCAAATGCATTTGATTGTATTTGCCTCAAGAAAGCAGTGCCAGAGTGCCATGATTACCTGAAATGGCTCCGTTACACCCACAATGGTGCTCATGTTGTTGCTATAGTAACCCAAGATAAAGTCCCCTGAGCCTTTGGGCAGTTCTTCCTCGGTAAAGGTTACCTGGAAAACAGTTTGTCAGACATCTATTAAATGTGAAAGAAAATGATCTCTGAGGAGAATTCAGCACGCAACCAGATTACCTGATGGTCTTGTCGAGTAAAGTCAGCCTCCTCTTGCTTGGCCCACACGTATCCCACATAGTCCTTATGGTGCTTGAAACCCACCTAGGGTGGCAAATTGGTAACGCACAGAAATATTTATTACAATGCCCCTGATGAGTTGCTGACGTGGATTCTTCAGACGTAATATTTCATTTGGCCAGTAGAGGTAAGACTGTTTACCTTGTACAGTCCGATCCAGTCCCAGGAGCTGCGTGGGTAGTTGGGCACCAGTTGGAATTTTGCTATGGCATCAGCAATACTATTCCACTCATCCTCCACCATGATTGTGACCAGGGGAACGTCCAATTTGTACGGGAACTGAAAAGAACATTTACCATAAACGTTTGTACGGTGCAAAATCACTGTAACGTCCCTAATATAAACCTAAATGATAAAGAGGGTTGACTATAAAATGTCAGTACTAACACTGACATCAATTATCAACGGCAGCAGAGCCGATTTTTTCCCAATTTAAAGTTGTACAGCAGTTTGAGTTTAAACATTAAACATTGTTTGATTTTCAAATTAAGGTGCTGAAAGTAGAAAGTAGTACTGTTTTTGATTTTACTTTGGAAACAAAGTATTTTATCATTGTATTAGCACAGTATTGAATTAAAAGCATGCCAGCCTTAAGTCACCTTTACAAAGTCTCACCTGCAGGGTAAAGATGGAGGAGACTGGTTTGTGGTCACTGACGGTGTATTCCATGTGACTTCGGTAGTAGTGTTGTGTCACTTTGGTCCCACTGGTCAGCCCCGACATGGAGCCCCGCTTCCCTGCGCTGAGAGCAGCGCTGGCAGTAGCAGTGGCTCTCAGGCGCCACAGGATCCGGTCGGTCCAAGCTGGTTTACGCTTCTTCCCACTAGGTGGAGGACAGAAAGAGAGCAATGGAGCGCGACAAAAAACAACAACTTTAAAATCAGCACTTTCATGCTCCCCCGGGCTAGTGAGGACCTTTCAGAAAAGGGACCAACCTTGTGTCATATGTATCTGTCCCAACATCAAACTTGTAGGTGGGAGGAAATTTCAGCGGTCCCTCTTGGAAACCCTCCAACACTGTCTCACAGTCTTTGACCATATTGAGCTGCAACAATGAAGAAGAAGATAGTGTGTTTCTCTAGCGCCCTCTAGTGGCATCACCTACACAGTGCATAGTCCACCAGACATGTATTTTATGGCTTAAAAACCTTGTTTCAGCTTGTAAAATATCCTCAGAGGAAGTCAGATGTAAATGTAAGATTTTATTGGGGAAAATATTTCAATGGATAGAAAACCCTTGTTCTTTACTAAATCAAGAACTCAATCAAAAGCTAACCTGATGCTATAAACACGGAGGAGCTAAGGGGCAAGTTGCTTTTCAAAAGGACACATGCAGAGGAGTTATATTTAACAGTCTTCTCTCGGTCTTGTAAACAGTATATTAGAGAGCCTTCATCGTTTACCTGATCCTTTTCCCACAACATTGGAAACTTGTTGCTATCGATGGCTGATTTCACCACTTGCATATCCAGGTCATCAATGCGGAAATTTAGATCCCCAAACCAGAACACCACACTGTGAAAAATTTCACGAATTCAAACAAGTGCAAGTACATACGTACATTTGCAATGCTGATTGCGACACCATTTCCATCAGAAAACATGAATATGGGGAAAACAAGTCTATTTTACTCAGATATATCAGAGTGTAAAGGTTGTGCTGACTTACTCATGGTCAAGAACACCAGAGGCAGTCTGGCCCTCAAACTGCTGCTGCTGCAGGATGCTCTCAAAGTCCTCCATGCGCTGCCCAGAGTTTTCCATGTGAGCCGGCAGGTGGCAGTTGAGGAAGCAGATAGTGTGGCCGAACGCTGACATGCGGGCGCTCACGCCACCTTTATTTCCCTGTAACAATGACAAGCACAACGGAGAACAAAAAGAAGGGAAAAAAAAAATCCTTCAGTTTCTCAAAATTAAATGACTACGGTCAGTGATGGAAAAGCGTCTAAAGTCAGTGATTGGTCTGTGAGTGTTTTCACTGTATCAGTGGTGTGCGTGTCTGTGCCACAGACACACAGGACATTTACTCATTAAGGACCGGTGAAGACAGTCATCATTTAATAAAGTACAGTAAAGTGCACAGTGGGGGGGACAGGATGAGTCTGTGGATATCTTCCCGCTGTTCTCCCAACTGCTCTGACCCACTAAAACACAAAAGATGTTTCAGTGTAAAATGTGCAGAATGTGCTGATGCCCGAGTTCATACAGAGAGGGTTTCACTTCAAACTGAGTGCTACATCATTTTTCAGTGAACAGGATCTTCGCTCTGTCTAAATTAAATTATCACCCCATGTTTTTACCTGGTCTTTATTCTCATAAAACTGGATGGAATACCATTTGACTATCAAGTAACAAGACTGGCTAAAAGCAAACAACCTGCATCGTTTACAAACCGAGCCATAGAAGTGTGTAGACACTGTAGTGAAAAGCTAGTGTCTCTCAGATCAAATTTAAACCATAGTCACGCCCCCGGAAATGCCGTCCCATGTGCAGCTGAGCTTCCATGTGTGAAATGTCCAGAATACAGTGCTGATCCCAGAATGGTGTCAGTAGCTGTCTCACCCAGTAACCCCCCAGGCCAGTGCGGGTGGTTTCAGTCTGGACTCCGCGGAGGAAGGGCAGATGGAAGTACTTGGCAAAGACCAGCAGCAGCAACCCCTGCATCCGCTGGGAGGTCACCTGAGGGACAGACAAGAGGACAAGTACAGACAGACATGAAGAACGAAATAAGATAACATGAACAGGTGAGATATAAGGAGGCACTTTGCTTAAACCTGAAAAGAGAGCAGCAATACAGTTCAGGGTAACTGTATTATAATCTTGATAACGCGCACTAAAATTTCAATAAACAAATTCTCTGAGCTGCGTCCGGCTTTGCTGTGTGTCCATTTATGCTGCTCCGCTTCACTTTCTCTCCCCCTCCTCTTTCTGCCCCCTTGCATTACCATTTCGCCCTGCAGGAGCCGGCGGCCCAGCGCTCTCCCTCTACTTTACATGAAGCGCTGCACATTAAGGAGGCCATAGCTTGTGGTCTACCCTCGCTGTGGCGACGAACCACTTTGTGGAGGGAACGTGATGTACACGCTGTAGGCACTTGATGGCCAGACCTTCCCTTTCTCCGAGCCCTCCACCATCATCTCAACAGCACTTGCTGCTTGTTCTGCTACATAATGATGTGCAGATTTTGACATTCATTCAAAGGAGTGCACATATTTTTTGTACTGTGCAAGAAGGGCAGAAATATGATGCATGCGTTGTGGAACAAAATGAGCTATCTGCATGCTATGTCAAGCCCCTCACCCGATATTTATGTTCATCTCTCTCTCTCCCTTTCTCCAGTGGTCCACACATCCCAACCCCCAACTGCAGGCGGAAGAAGCATTATCACACCCCGCCTGAAATGCCCTGTGGCCAGCAATGGAGGCACACATCTTTGCACGTGACTCAAGACCCGCTCACTTGTAGACTAACCAGCTATTTGAACTACTTTGTTGCGTAATGGATTCTACTGAACCGTAAAGCGGACCAACTTTATGTGTGGTACGTGTGTGGACGCAGGCAATGAGTGTGTGTTTCTGTGGGGAAAGTCTGAGTACACCTTTGCCTGAATGTATTGTGGGTGAAAAGCATTTCTTATCAACATCAGTGAACATTGGGGGAGCTCGTGAAGGGTGCAGTGAGTGCACGTGTGCAGCGGTGTATGATCGACATTGAACAGCACACACGTGACTTAAGAACTGAGCTGTGAAGTGTGAAGTCTGGGAATTTGGTAGAAGTTTAGTGCAAAACAATGGCTTACTCCTTCCAGTTTCTAATAATGAAGACCACAGAATCATCAACATCTTCCTCCACTGTTCAATACACAACATGCACATTAGACATCATTTGCTGGCTTTCTGAAGAAATCCATTGATTTATTGAAATTGCTTAACAAATTAGTATTCAAGTGACAACTTGACTTGGTTTTTTTTTTGGTTTTTTTTAAAGGTAGGTCCTTGTTATTCCAGTGCCTACAAATCTATGAAATGTGATTTAACCTAAACATTAATCCTACATGCAATAAATCTATTTACTACAATATAATACAATAAATCCCCACTGCATACAAAAAGTCGTGCTGCAACATATTCCAATTGAGAGTGCCATGTTGCAATTAGAGATGAGGGCCAGAAAAATGTGTGCATTTAATTGTAGCTTACTCAAACATAAATGATGTTAACCGTGTGGTGAATAGCCAGAAAAAATGTTTTGTTGGCTCTGTGATTCTGCAGTGAACAGCAGTCATCTTTCTTGTGCTGGCAGCAGTTACACTTTGAACCTGAGAATGAGTCTTGGTGAGCTGACTATCTCAGAGCAGACAGAACCGATGGGGTGTCTCGTTACAGCGTGTCTGTCCACCATGTCGTGACGAGACAGATTCCTACTGACACCGCCGTCTACCTCTACTTCAAATTCAAACTAACACATCCCCTTAATCTGTTCACAGCATTAATATCCACATGAAGTACACAAAAAGGTCAGATGGAAATGATTTTAGCGAGGTTCAAGCTAACGTAGCAGACCATGACATAACTGGGGGACAGCGTCAGTCTCCCTGTCAGAGGCCCATCAACAGTGACATCAACGTGATCCAAAAATAAAACAGCGTCCTGGGAGACATTTGTATAGCTCGACAGCTCGACAGCTGATTCACACTCTCTGGCTCACCATGCCAACAGAGCCAAGTATCGTTTCAGATGCAGCCAGACGAACACCAACCTCAGCTGCGGTATGTACCAACATACCAGACAGTTGGTGAGAAAATAAACATTTTTGATGGTTTCTGTATAAATGCATGTTCCCCCGCCTTCCCAGCTTTTAATGTCTGATCTCTGCAGTACATATTGGGAAGTATTTAATCCATTCTATTCAATGTGCGCATGACATAGTGCATTTCTTAGTGTGCTACCTTCCCACAGTGGGTGTAGGCCACTGTGACACGGTAAGACAGAGAAAAAGGAGCAGGTATGCAGTCATAAAGGCACACAGAAGGGAGCTGACATTACACGCCTGTTATAAATGATCACCCCATCCGTTGCTCAGGGAACAAAATGAGCCGAGGCAGCAGCGGAGCAGCAGAGATCTCATCAGCAATAACGTAATGCGTACTAGCTAAACAGTTTAGCTGTTTAGCATTTTAGTTTGAGAGAGTGCATATGTGTTGATAATAAAAGCCATTACTGACCAGCACATAACCAAAGGGGCTGAGTCTCTCCATGCAGACCTCGCTCCACTGGTCTGTGAAGAGGACATCTTTCAGCCTTTTGTTAATCATAGAGTTCACTTCCTGCAGCCTTGAAGATAAAGGACACACAACACACAAGGGTCAACATCCGACAGAGATGTAGGGAGAACTTTGTAATAATGTAATGGTGGATTCATAAATGGAAGAAAATTGTAGCCATAGGGAGAGAGAGAGAGAGATCCCTGTGGTTCAGAACTGAGCCTGACTGCTCATTAGTGACAATGTTTAATTTATTATACTATATTGATCCCTTTATCTGACCCATAACGGACTGCATTTGGACTGCGCCCAGGGTTGAGTGTATTGCTCAGGTACACTTCGACACGTGACACCCAGTCGAGGATCGAACCGTTGACCTTCCGGTTCCCAGACAACCCTCTTAACCCAGTGAGCTACGGTCACCCCGTTAAAGTGTCGACGTGGGACAAGTGGGCATAAATGGACACTTCAGCTTTCATGTGGAAGACACTGGATGCGCCACAAAACACTCACCCGATAATGTACATGTCAGTGTTTCCATCACCCACATTCAGCCCCAGCAAGGCAGTGATGTCATCAGGTGGTGTGGCCGAACCCACGTTCCAAGTGATGACGTGCAGCCTGTTGGAAAAGGCTGTTAGGTTGTAAACTCTCATCACCGACAGACCTCATGATCACGACCTAAAGACTCTGAATGAGACAGCAGAACCCCTGTATTAACTACTAGAATAACCGCCTCACAGTTGTATGCCTCCGCCAACCGTCAGGTTGTCAGGTTGCAGTTTACATCCATGTTTGTCCAAAATGCCATCGCTTCTATATTTTATCATATGAGACATTTATGTGAAATTGTCACAATTAGCATATGAATTCTTGATTTATGGCCCAAAATGTCTTCTTTGTGAGCTTTGACCACCCAAATGTAAGTAAAAACAACATGCCTTACAAAGCTGAGTACAAAGACAGTGTTGATTTCCAGCAGCTACTGTTTCTATTAGATAAATCAACACCATTAATTAGTTACCAGACCGTACTGGTGCAAACTAAAGGTTGTATAAGGAATTGTACAAGCACCTCCTATGTTGTTAATTCATGCAATGTAATGTCACCTAAAAAAAGACTGCCGAGCCAACTCGGAGCCAGTCTGAAGACATGCAAGTAAGATAAATATGAAAATCGAAATCACCCGCATAAATGTGAACATGAGGGTGTGTTTGTCTGTATTAATGCAGTATGTTGGCTCTCTGACAGACCTGTCCAGAGTCTATCTTGCCTCTCATCCAGTTTGTACACTGGGACAGGCTCCAGCCAACTACAATCCTGATGAGGGCAAGCAGTTTGGAAAATAAATCGACTGAAATTCTCTATATCCCGATCCTCCTACTGTGTATGTTACACGTGTTTAAGGATCGATATTTAATGCAGTATTTAAGCTATTTAATATTTCCCCAAATTAAACGAGTGAATGATCATGGAGCTCTTTTCTGTTTACTGGTCAATGGTAGTGGCACAGGGTATGTGACATTTAGGGGCCAATGTCACAGTTCTTCCAGAGTACCAAAGACAATTTCAAAAATGTTCTATAAAAAGCAGTGAGCTCACTATGCCGGCAGTGTTATCTTTGAACTTCCACTTCCAGAAGACCCTTCTCACAGCGCCAGCATACTGATATAACTGCATACATTTTACTTAGGTTTGTAAGTTTTCTTGTTGATAAACATTTCATGACATTAAATCATTAATTCATTATCATGTGAAGCTTTGTTTTCTGTGTTACGACACTTCTGTGAAAAAATGTTGTCGGTAATTTAGCAACCTAATCCATTCCAGAAATCCAGTTTACTCTGCAGTGACCTGTTAACCAGGGAGTGGTTCGAGATACACCCATAGAAGTGAGAGAACATGCAGTGGGAATGAAAGACACAAACCTTACAAAGGCTTTTTAAGTCAAAATATGTCACACTTTTGAAGCTTAACATAAAAATTTTATAGTCCCTAAAATTGGTCATATTATGTAATTTAGAAATACACTAAATGCATCTCATCTATCCTGAAAAAATGGGATATTGATATTATCAAAAGTGAATTATTTTAGACTTTTTGGATGGTGAATTTGTAAAATAAAATAAAAATAAAAAAGTTGAGGAGGTACATTTTTCCTGACACAGAAACAAATAACAGTGTTAAATAATTATGGTCGTAGTATGAAGCAAAAATCCTCACAATTCACACGTTCACTGTAATCATGTAGCCTCGGAGTGTCGACTGGCATTCTATGTGTGCCAGGCTTATTTTTCTCAGCTGTCTGGGATCGAAAGCCGGTGTTAAGACATGCTGAGACATGAATGTTTGAACAAACACTGATGAGGGAACTTGCCTGAAGTCTTCCACAGTCTGGGCCTGGGTGTCAGCTGTACCTGCTACAGAGAAGGCTCTCTGTGCATGAGGGTTCAGGTGAGGAGCCACAGGCCTGCTGGCAGGTGCGTGGGAGACTGTCGCAGCCCTAATCGGGTGGTGGCCCGGTCCTTTAGGACCAACCTTAGGGCTGGGCCTGGTGAGCTCTCCTAAAGGTTTGAATGTTGCAGGGCGAGAGGGTTTGGGGCGACTTGCCACAGCGCCATCAGGAGTGCACTCCTCCTGGTTCGCCACTGGAGTGGGTTCAACTTTGGGCTCAGCTTTGGGCTCAGCGATGTCTACGGAGCCCTCTACTCTGGCACTTCTCTGTGGGCGTCGAGGCCTGGCATGAGCTGCAGGCTGGTTGGCAGTGGAAAGTGTGTCTGGAGCCGCTGTATCTGATGCTGCAGCTGGAGTTATTGTTAAAGCTTCTGCTGCTCCCTTTGGGTTGTCTTCTTGCGTCTGGCTTTGGATCGGAGTATTTTGGTCCATTTCTTAAGATTTCTGAAGCAAAGAAAACAATGGGAATGTTTCCACTTGCAAAATGCACATTATATTAGCATTTTAGGGATTTAACCCATTCAGAACATCAATACACAACTAACCCTGAAGATAACATTCTTGTTTAGCATCACAATCATATGGAGGGATTCATCTCTAAGGAACATGACGAAAGTCTCTGTGACTTTCAGCTGATGAGTGCAGGACTGTCATGAGACCTTTTTGACCCAGCAGGGCAACCGAGTGAGTCATTCAAGCTCCAACCATAGCGGCTTCTCAATTACCTGCCTTCTCATGGCCTTGAAAACGGATGAATGCAGCCAAATATACTGATAGAAGAAGACATCTGAAAGACCAAAATACAAAAAAACAACTAGAGAGGATTAGGAAGAGACAAGGAAGAGACAAGGAGAGACGTATTCTTATACTGTCCTAACCTCTCAGAGCTTTAGGTTGGGAGATTTGGAGAAAAGCAAGCCTGGACACAGTTTATCATCCTCTCTACTTGTGCCTAAGCTGCCTGCCAGTCCCCCAGTAACCAGGGAGATGCTCAGTCAGTTCATATCAGCTCAGAGCACCTGCCGCACACTAACATGAGGAGCTGCTGCACGGTCCAGAACCGCAAAAACAAAACGGCATGAAATAAACAACAATACAGGGAGAGGGAGGTGCAGCGAGATCAGACAGACACAGAGAGCAGAGGGGGGCAGAAATAAAGGAGGAATTTAAACCCATTTATTCAAGTAACAATCCATCCAATTATTGCCAGAATAAATGGCTGCATTGATTTTCTCTACTGCTGATTGATGGGACACAATAGCAAGTTCAGCTTCTGTACACACAGTTTTACAAAAGCTTTAAAATGTCTGATTTAAATACAAAACACGTGAAGCATTTTACATCAGCGGCAACTGCTTCAATGAATTGACGAAAAAATAATAAATAACGTAATTATGATGATACTAATTATCATCATAATTATGAGTAATTATGATGATACTCAACATGGCTGAAGACATAAGAGTGTCACTTAAAGTAATTCAAATGTCTTTGGGAAATTACTTTAAAAAATCATGGAAAATCTGAGGAAAAAAGATTATAGGGAGACTGTAATCCATACATTGTTCATCACCGAAAAAAATGAAAAACAAGCAAGGATTGCTCAGATGTTGGAACCCTAAAACACAAAAACTGCCACGTACAGTGGATGGGGACATGTCCTTGTGCTTGTGAACATGTCTGATCCTTAGAAGAGCTGATTTGGGCACAAAACTGAGGCAGCCCGACCCAGATCCATCAGTCCGTGATAATAGAAGTGAAACACGTGAGAAGGGACCATAAAATGTCTTTCATGAGGGTGAGAGGACACCTAATCTTTCGTTATCGGGTGGCACACAGCCAAATCATGGCAGGCATTAGCCTATTATATTCTCTGCATGGTTGAAATGATGCGCTCTACATCAGGGGCATATTTTCAGTCAATAGAGAGACTCTGTTTGAGGACGGGGAAACAACAGAGCCCACTCGTGATTATTCACATGACCTTGAAGAGACGGAGGCCTCTGGACTCCACATGTGCCCAGAAACGCGCTGGTCTTTCAGTCCACCAATAACCGGGTGCCTGGCCGGGCATAATGTATTACTATGGTCCATGTATGGCATTCAGTGGGGGGAGTGTGGAGGAGGGTGGCAGGGCACACGTGGGAGTGGGTGGGTGCAAAACGAGCCGAGGGAAGCGGGAGGGAGAGCTGAGCGAGACAGCCCATTCAGTGACAACACTGTGTCTCTTCGCAGAATGTCTCCAAATTGATCCTCTCACACTTCCCTCTGGCACTCTATATTTTTCCAAGCTTTAATCCCCCCCCCTCTCTCTCTTATCATCCCATTTCACTAATCCTTTCTCTCTCCCCATCTTCTCCCAGACTCTGTTGTTTCATCTTACCCACCTTCACTGCATGGGCATTGAATCGCTCAACCCACCAATTTGGTTTTTCCCATCCTATATTTTTCCTTTCACATCAAGCCGAGCGCCTGCACTATTCCTGACCTAAAATCGTTTCACTCCTGTCTTCTTCTACTCCCCCCTGTGCTCTGAGGTGACACTTGTGCTCCTCCAGCAACATTCTCTGCATTGTTTCCTTCAGCCGACCACCTCACAATCACTACCAATGACGTCAAGACGCCACAGTCCGCCATAACAGCTGGACGTTGATCATAACCAGCGGTAAAGTGCTCGGGAACATGGGAAAGCAACTGGAGGCTGAGAACATGTTCAAACCATGTACGAGGAAGGATAGCTGGGAATGGGGAGGTCCAGTATGAGATTGTGGAGGTCATAATTACTAAATCGTGAGATACGAACACTGATTAATGAGGAAATAGCACATTCAGAGACACTTCTTTTCCGCATGCCAAAAACTACAATGCAGTTTTTAAACAATTTAAACATGTTCTTCCAAGTATTTGGCTTTCCGGGAACAGTGACGACAGACACCACTTCTTATTCCACTCGCGTTCACCGAGGAGCGAGGGGAATGATTTGATTGCAACAAATGTGTCATGGTGTTTACGTGCGCCCTCCTGAGAGCTGAGAGAACCAGGAAGGATGCAGTGTAACCCAAACAGCAGGCTCTAGCCAGCCTTTGTTGATGGGATTATTTAACAACACAGATAGTTTTGGATGAGCGAGTCTGTTGAATGGCCACATTTCTTTCTATTTAGAGGTTAATGTAAAGGGAGTCATCTATATCCTCTACACTGAATGATCTATTATCTTAAATGGCTGCATAGTGATTCTAACCATAACACTGATCACATTTTGTGTTTGTATTACAGCCAGGCAGAGTGTTGGTGTTCAGGGCCTCCAGGGCCATATGCCCCTGTGACAGGGACACTAATGATGACCTGGACAGAAATGACTCCGGCAGCTGCTGCCACAGCTGTAAATGGCTCCTCTGGGTCCTAGTGCCACAAAAATTCACTCCCCAGTATCCAGGGGGCCTCATCTTTCTGATCAGGTCACAGCCAGGGCTGTAAGATGTCCACATTGTTCTGCTTACAGTCCAACACTGAAGACATGTGCTGACAACATAGAGTTTCATGTCTGCACTGCAAAAGTATATTATAAATTGCCATTTCAGATTCTGTCAATTAACAATTATAGAAACCAGCCAAATGGAAACATTCACTCCGGCTTCATTCTGCTTAAAAAGGCCGTCTGTAGAGGAAAATAATCACCATGTTGTTATCTGACGCAAAAGCAGCATCTGGTTCACCAAATAATTGTCATGCGTACATTGCACAATGTGGAGTAAAGATTTCCATTCAGTCCGACATAATCTGTCTGTGAATGATTCTGGATATGCAATCAAATGCAACGACAAAACCTCATTAGGGACGATAACAATAAATCCACCGAGCTTGGACTGGCTATGTGTAATAACATCTGCATGTGCATGAAATCAAGAACACTGTAAGTCAGTTCATTGCCTGCATGTTCCTTCCTGCCCGGTTACTAAATAAGAATAAAATACAAAATGTTGCAACAGCAGCTTCACAGTGCAGTATAGTTGTTGTTCCAGTAACTACTGAGAAAACTTGTTCGGTGAGTTATAATCAATGAATTTGGACTAAAATCTAATGGGGCGTTTAAGGAATCCAATGTGGCTATACAGATTATTATGACTGCAGCTGAATCCTCCCTCAGTGCATCAATCGCATAACATTACACTGTTGCATGTAACTGCAATCTGAATACTACCAAGCACTGACATGTATGACACTGTAAGAGAACGCCACTTTAGTAGAACATAATGAAAAACTTGTACAATGAGATTCAGCTTCTGACATAAATATGTAAATACTTCTGACAACCAAGAGAAAGTTTTTTGACAGGATGTGATGTTTAGTATACTCTGTTATGTAAACAATAGAACTCAAGTTCTTCATTGCACACTTTCAGGGAGGTGGACGCTGGTATTTGGCCAATGGCAGGTAGATATACATATTTACACAATGACACAGAAATGACCGATGTCTCGGCTGAAAGAGGACAGCAGCATACGGATAAAGCATCTGGCCTAATTACACTCCTGCTTCAAGGACAATTTTTGTCTGGCTAAAAAAAAAAAGGATGAAGGTCATTTTAATTCAGTGTTTTGCAATCAAATATTAACTCAGACACACGGGTGCCTGTGTATGCATGCATTTGTGTGCATTTGTGTGCCTGAGATACACTAATGTCTGACTGCCTGATGATTCATCAGCATGATCTCTAGCATTGAAAATGGTTGAATTGTGATTGGTTTATTCTTAATTACCATGGTTTTCCGTTGCAAACAAATGCTGTAACATGTATCAATAACCACAGTGTCAATATCCCCTCTGACACATCCACAGTACGAGGATCCGCTGGCAGGGATGTATTTACAAGTGATGTCAGGATGAAACGACAGTAAACAACGATATTTACTGCATGGGTGTTTCTGCTGTCACCACCACTGGTGAGCAACAGAAGCACGTCCCGTTACATTATAAACATAATAAACACAGCTGATCAATCATCTCCTTTACCTGTTTGGGTGCTTCTGTGTTGATGATTCTGTGTTGAAGCTGATGGATCTTGAGTAAACCGCTTCTACAGATGTAAAGGTCGGTCGGTCTCGGCAGCCTCGGTGGAGGTTGTGAATTTACATGAATCACAAGAAGAAGAAGAAGTGAATCGTTAACCGAAAACAGGCTGAACTTTCCCTTCCAGTCGCCTCCCAGATGAAACCATCGGCATCCCAGCGCCTTTCCTCCCTCCCTCCTTCCTTCCTTCCTTCCTAAGCGGGGAGATGACAGGTGGGTTTGAAAAGCGATGCTGGTCAGGCTACATCTCAGAAACACAAATGTCCCTCCTGCGTTTAAAGACACAGGCTGCGACAGCACGCGCACGCCTGTGAGTCCTGTCCCTTCCCCGTGCCCTTCAAATTAAAGAAATCGTCCGGGACGGCACGAGAGAGAGAGAGATTGAGAGAGAGAGAGGGAGAGAGAGAGAGAGAGAGTGTGGGAGAGTGAGAGAGAGAGAGAGAGTGTGAGAGAGTGAGAGAGAGAGAGGGAGAGAGAGAGAGAGAGAGAGAGAG